TGGAGACTTAGAGTGCTGCGACGCAATACCTTTGAGTTTGTATACTCGGTTTGTGCAATATGATAGGTTAAAAGGCAATCAAATAGTCTATTTGATTGGATAAATGTCAATAAGGGCAATGGCTGAAGGAAAGAGGCCAGCGTCCACCCAACTTAAGATAAGCCGAGGGATGTGGTGGAGAGGTGGCCATGTGATGCCACCTCATATCCAAAATTGACGGCAACTACCAACTACGTGTGTAAGCAACATTTCAAGTACTTCTCAATGGCTGCTATTGCTAAGACTGGTGGTGGCCTCGAGAAATTTAATGTACCAAACGAAGCTGTTAGAGAAGGAACAGCCTGAAGCGAATGTGCTCATTACCGACTTCCTGCGGGACAATCCTAAGAAGCCAGCACCACCGACCACCAAAATGGACGAGCAAGAGGCGCTCTCGGCGCGGTGGGACGTGATGCACTGGATGAGAGGAAGGGGCGACTTACAAAACCTGCTCAATCAGGTCCTTCCAAACTTCTTTCTCTCTACCCTTCCCGATGTGGTGTCCTCCATGGACCCGTGTGAAGTCATTCGACTTCTCGAGAAGGACTTCGGCCAAGGTGACGCTGCGGGCCTGATTGAGCTGACCCGGGCCTGGTCGAAGGTGTTGCGTAGCCCTTGGCGTGACTTAAGGACACTTTTCGCGCAGCTTAAGAAGGCAAAGAACGAGATTAACAGAAAGTCTCGGAAGCTGCTCGGCCAGGACATGGTGACCGAGTCTTGGCTGTGCATTGAAGTCCTGTCACAACTCCCAAGTGAATTTTGGGCTTCAGCGATCTCCATGAAGAAAGAGGACTTCACGGTGGATAGGGTCGAAGTGGACTTACGCAAGACCTTTGGTGACCGATCCAAGAAAGAAGTGGGTTTAATGGATAAAACCCAAGCGATTCCTGTCAACAATGTCGGGGTCAAGAGAAAAAGCGGTGCAGGTGAGGGTGGAAAAAGGTGTTTTTACTGCCTCAAGAGTGGACACTTTAAATCGGACTGTTCGGTGATGATTGCTGATAGGGATCCTAACCGCGAAGGTGGACCCCTTTTTAGGACCGATATCAACACTGCACCGGGTGCTAAGAAGGCCAAGAAGGCGAAGACAACCCCGATTAATACCCTCAAATCGGGGTGCTAGAAGGGGAAAAACGCCTAAATGAGTGTGGGAAGACTCTTCTGGAAGAGTGCATTGAGGACGAGGAGATGGACGACATTGAGGATCTGGACCCCGCCTACCATAAAGGTTTTGAGGATGGTGGCAACGTGCCGAATACCCCATTCAGGTCCCCACTACAAATGGACGACATCGAAGAGGAGGTACGTAGCAGCATCACTCCTATTTGAGAGCCTTGAAGAAGTTAAAACTGACCGATGATATGTGGGTGGTTGATACTGGTGCAGGCCGAGCTATAACATCAGATCGAAGCTGGCTTAGTGGGAGCCTAAAACCGAGTCAGGGCCACACTTTTACCTACGGAAACGGGAGCTTTCTCATAGCTCACTAAAGGGATCAATAAAACTTACCGTTTTAAACCCTAAAAAGAGGTTGAGTGTATTAACACTAAGTGATGTCTCATTTGACCGTAAGTGTGATAGTAACTTGTTGAGTGCCTACTATTTAGCTCGACAAGGATTTAGGCACTTTCAGTCAAAATCAGGTGAATTTCTATTTTTTATAGGGAATGACCAAAAATTGCTCTTTGCAGCAGCTTACCGAGTATTAAACCGACTAAAAGGCGTGTGTTTAGCACTCAGAGTGGTAACTTAGCTAACCTTATAAAGGAGTGGCACCTAAGACTGGGTCATGTCGGTAAGGAACGTCTAATTAGGACTATCAGCAACCAGAAAATTGAGGGTCTTCCTCATATTTCGTATTCAGAGCTTAAGAAGGTCTCGTTTTTCTGTAAAACGTGCGCTCAAATGAAGGACAAAAGAATGTCATATAGAAATTTGGTGGGAAATAAGAGTAATGAACCACTACATACACTTCATATGGATTCAACCGGACGATTAAGAGTTAACGGTTTATACGGATCTTTTGGGTACCGATACGCATTGGCTGTTGTAGATGACGCCACTGCTTATAAGTGGTACATTATCGTAAAATCCTTAAAAGAGGTACCTGGGAAAATTAAGTCTTTATTGAGGAAGCTGTCGTGTCAATTTCCTCTTTATAAGGTCAGAAGAATAAGGACTGATGGTGGAACAGAATTTATATACACTGAAGTGTCCAAAATATGCGATAAATTGGGCTTACAGTTTGAAAGCTCTAATGTTGAATCTCCAGAAGAAAATGGCAGTGCTGAGCGAGCCCACCAGACCATGATGGCTGGTGTTAGGTGTGCTATTAGGGGTGCTAATATGGCTGCTAAATGGTGGCCTGAGGCCCTACTTTATATGGTGGATGTCACTAATCGACTACCAATGGCTAGACTGGGAATGAAAACCCCTTATGAGTTACTGCACCGCCATAAACCAAAGGGGTTAGGGTTAAGAATTTGGGGCTCCACTTGCTTTGCGCATATACCAAAGTCAAAACGAAAGGATCCTAAACTAGGCGATCGGGCTATAGAATGTAAGTTGTTGGGATTTTCGCCTAAACATAAAGGGTACCGACTCCTGGACATTAAGGCTAATAAATACCTTATTGCCCGTGATGTAAAGTTTAGCTCAGCTGGTACTGAAGCAATGATCAGTCGATCGTTCCCTATCGAGGACTGTAGCGTCAACGTTGAAGAAGAAAAGGTAATTCAAGGCCTAGGTAAAAGAACTAGGTCTAATCTAGAAGTTGAAGTGCAGGATATTGACACCACTGGCCCAGATTGTGTCTCTCGACCACCGACACCCAGACAAGTGGGAGTGCAAAACGGTGCTGTTCGTAGGTCTAAAAGACGACGACTGCCAAATGTGCGGCTCAACGACTACGTGACAGAGTTAAATACTGTAGCTATTAATAAGACAGCCAGAATACCTATTCCTAGGTCAATTAAGGAGGCCAGGAAAAGCCCACATGCGAAGCAGTGGGAGTGTGCAATAAAGACAGAGTATGACGCCCTTTTAAGTAATAAAACGTGGGAATTAGTACCCCTTCCTACTGGAAGACGGCCATTGAGTTGTCATTGGCTGTTTGATGTTAAATACAGAGCCGACGGCTCAGTGGACCGTTTTAAGGCACGGTTAGTTGTGCAAGGAAATACACAATTGTATGGAATTGACTATAAAGAGGTGTTTGCACCTGTAGCAAGATATGAATCGTTGCGCTTATTACTGGCATTAGCCACAATATTAGGGCTGCATCTACACCAAATGGATGTATCTACAGCGTTTTTAAACGGAGTTTTAAGTGAAAACATCTACATGAGGCAACCAATGGGGTTTCGCAAAGGAACTGAAAATCTACTTTGCAAATTAAAGAAGAGCCTGTATGGACTGAAACAGGTACCCAGAATTTGGTATGAAGTTTTGAATACCTTCTTAAAAACCTTAGGCTTTTTTAGATGCAAGAAAGAGCATTGCTTGTATCTAAAACGGTGGGAGATAAACGGGGTTCAGCACGTCCTTATAGTGTGTGTGTATGTGGACGACCTGACAATTGCAGGATCACATCTAAGTTCTATAAATGATCTTAAAGCTAAGCTGTCTGACAAGTTTACTATGAAAGACTTGGGTGAGTTGCACTACCTGCTTAAAATGGAGATTAAAAGAGACCTTACAAATAAGACTCTACGCCTATCTCAACAAAAGTATATTAACGACCTTTTAGATAAGTTTGAGATGAGAGACTGCAATACTGCACCTACACCACAAGCAAAAGCTGTGGTCTTAGAGAAGGAAAAGACATTGTCACCCGAACAAATAGCGGCACAGTCATTCGACTACAGAGGGTTAGTTGGGTCCTTAATGTACCTAGTTAGGGGAACTAGACCTGATATCGCTAATGCTGTCAGAGAGCTTAGTAAATATCTATCTTGCTATAATAAGACTCATTGGAGAGCGGCTCAGCGAGTACTAAAGTACTTGAAAGGAACGTCGAGGTATGGCATTGAGTACAATGGTAATAGTACTATTAAGCTAGAGCTATACACAGACGCGAGCTTTGCGAATGCATCTGAAGAAAGGAAATCAATTACAGGATATGTATTAATTCTCGCTGGTGCATGCATTACCTGGAAGAGTATTAAGCAAGATTGTATTAGTCTTAATACAGCGGAATCAGAACTAGTCGCCGCTAGTGAAGGAGTAAGAGAAGCAATGTGGTTACGATTACTACTGCAAGAATTAGGCTACGAGCAATTACTACCGACTCATTGTTGGTGTGATAATACGGCCGCAATCAGTATTCTTAAGGACCCGTGCAGACACTCTTCTACTAAGCACATTGATATTAGACATCTTTTTGCACGAGATAAACATGAAGATAAGCAAATCAGGGTTACTTATTGTAGCACCAATGATATGATAGCGGATGCCTTAGCTAAACCCTTGAGTCAAAATCAGTTTGAAAAACTCCGATTTATGATGGGCGTTAAAGACCTTAAATAAGAGTTCCATAAATAAAGATTGCCATACGTAAGTAAGATTTGGCTTCAAAGATATGTTTACAAGATCAAAGTGGAATTTCAATTATTGGCAGCAAAGTCAGAAATAAAGTTAACAATAAAGGGCACATTTTAGTGTAAGGGTTTGGTAAAAGTACGGCTTTAGTCATAAAACCTTAGTTTTACACGTCACCTAGCCCTCTAAAAGTAATTCTGACATGTCCGGGCTATCAGCCCCTTGCCCCAGAGTATATTTTACTCTTTTTAAGTTTAATTCTATCCTGACTCTCTAAATACCACCAAGTAAAGCACGAATGGTCAAAGACTGGAAATTCACGGGTACCGGATAACCGGACTTTCGCTCCGCAGTGCCTCCAATGAGCCATTGGCGATCCGTTTAGGTGCAAAAAAGCCAGGACACGAGGGCCGCTGTGGCCTATGCCGGATCACTGTCGCCTGATGGGATACGGAGACGCTTGTGAACCCCCCCCCCCGAAGGGTAACGTCGGGACCTGCGCTTGACAGCAGCAAAATAGAGAGTGAGCAGCTCTCGCAAAAGTCGGAAACTTCAAATACATAAGCTAAGATACTTTTTAATATGAAATAAAGTATTGCTTCTGATTTTGGGTTGCGAATTTAAGCTTGGGTATGTGCCCAGCATTCAAAGTTATACTAAATCCCAGTTCGGTAGTTTGATTTTGCTATTTTGGGCATGCTAAATCTGAGAAAGGTTGAAGTCGACTCGCTAAATTGAAATTTAGCGAGTCGATTTCTAGTTTGGAATGTTACACTAAAATGTACAGCAAGAGACAAAAAGTACAGAAAAAAGTACTTCAGCGTTGTTAAAAAAAAACACGTTTGGAGAAAGAAAGGGTGGACAATTTCGTGGTGGCTTAAAATGTTAAAGAAAAAATTCTGGTAACTTTTTTCCATTTTCATTAAACCTCCACCCGGCCAAATTTTTCGCCTTTTACAACCCTGATGGCTTCGCTCGACACGTTAACGCGGTGCGTGCCTTGCACTCATATCTAGATGCAATTAGCGTTCCGCTGATTGTCGACAGTCCACAGGAAGCTCGAGGAGACTCACGGGGAGATTATCCAGGTTCGGGGTGATGTGGTGGAAGCTTTGCGCTCGTTTTACGCATCCGAGTCCTCAATCACAGCGGATGAGGCCGTCAAGATCGCGGCCAAATGGGGCGCGTCACACGCATTCCCTTTGGCCGGTGACGACGTCGATGCGTCGGATCTGCAGGAAAAAATGCGTCGCCTAAACGTCGCGCTGCTGGACGCCGTGGACCGCTTGCAGCTCGATGAGAGCGGTGAGATGGCGCCCGAGGCGCAGCTGCTGCTGTCTTTGACTCAGCGAGAGCGGCTTAAGAAGCAGGTGCAGCAGTCCAAGACCATGTTGACACTTATCGAGCAACTTACGGAGATGGACCGGCTATTGGGAGATGTGGACGAAGCTATTGACAACCAGCGTTTCGTTGCGGCAGCTGAAGGTGTCGCGGAAGTGGAAAGATTGGTGAACGAGCTTGTGAAGGCTGAGGAAGGAGAAGGAGGCAGTGTGGATGACAGGAAGATCATTCGCGTCGTGAAGCTGCAGCTGCTGAGCAAGAAGAACCGACTTTTGAATCAACTCACGAGGTATTTCTCGTGCACTGCGGTGTGGAAGGATAACGCGTTGAAGGTGACGACTGGTTTCTCGGAGAATGGATGTGAGGGGGCGAATATATCGGTGGAAGAACGACGCAATGACTTCTGGAAGGCATGTGAAGTGCTCGATATCCTGACACCAAAGATGAAGGACATTGCCAAGGCCATCTCCCAGCACCTGATCAAACCGATGTTGCAGATGCCACGTGGAACACTAAAGCAGATGCGAAATGACAGCGGTGTGACGCTTAAAATTGTGGTGGAGAATACGAAGGATGTGCCACGTGAGAGTGAAATAGCGGAGGTGCAGAGCAAATGCGCCAACGTTGTGGGAGTGCTTCAGTTTGTACATGCCGAGTTGTTTGCTGGCAATGCTGAGCTTATGAATCAACTTGGAGACTTCATGTGGAAGATTCCGGGTAATCTTGAAGCTCAGCTCATGAACCTGCTACAGGATAAAATTCCTCAGGATGCTGCGGCACTTGAGGCATATCGAGGAGTCCTGACAACTGCTGTAAGTGCACATGTGCGATAACTGGAAGACAGGTCTGGACTAATTGAGTGCTTTTTTTCTAGATTACGAGCTTAGAGAACACGCTGGTGGCGATCGGCTTCTCGGCGTGCAGCAATAGCCAACTGCGAGGCTTCGTCGACCAACTCAACCAGTACGTTGCAACTCGATTTGGCTATATTCGGCAGTATGTTGTCATTCACACAGCCATTGCTTTGTTCGTAGATTACACTCGAAGAAGCGCCGTCAAGTAATCTTGAGCAACGGACGAGATATGATGCGTCGTGATTATAGAGACTCGGTGAAGATTAATGGTGCCTCTGAGAAGTGCAGTCTCACTGGCTCCACTGATTCGGGCAAGAAAGACAAAGGCACCGGCAAGGGAGACAGTGGGTCGAGTGTTTCATTCGCCAATGCGGACACGGATGAGGTGGAAAGCAGTTGCTTCCAGGTCCCCAACTACCGCGTGACGGTTTGTGCGCATGAGGTGGTCGAGTTAGCGCATCAAACGCTAGTTGAGGCCTGCACTTCCGGGACTCCAAGTGCAAATTTGCTGTTCCAGACAGCTCGTGATCTCTTCGTCCTGTTCCGCACAATTGTCCCCACGCTTTACGAGGATGATATCACGAACGACCCGCGTACCTGTATGCTCTATCATAACGATTGCCTGTACATCACGTATCACATGGTGACAATTGGACATCTCTACAAGCACCAGTACGTATTTATGAGGTGTTGCTGCATTTTGCTTAACTCTAACCTGCTCGACGCTGTGGTAGGCTTCCAGCGCCGCTGGATCAGACTGCAACTATGATCGATATGATCCCGTCGTTCCGAGACGCTGGTGAGCGGGCATTGACTACATACACTGCGGCACAAATTGAGGACGTTTTGTCCGGAATGAAGACTCTACCGGTACGACAGCAGACACAAAAATTAATTAGCTGGATGGTGTGAACTAACTTTCAAGTGCTGTGTGCTTGTTATGCTGATGCTGAAGTCGCTTGGTGCTCTTGACTCAGAGTATGATGCGGAGCGTGTGGAGAGTTTCCTGAAAAGTGTGCTGTACAAGCTAAACGGAATGAGCTCATCGTGGCACGACGGACTTCCGCTAGCAGTTTACAACAAAGTCATGGCAAGAATGCTCGAGCCGCTTGTGAAGAATTTTGTCGATGGCGTGCTCACTAAAACGGTGTGTAGCTTTAGTATGTACAAACTTAACCCTTGTACTCATAATGTGTGCTGTAGAAAATTTCCGAAAACACCGGAGCTCATCTCCACCACTTGCTGTCATTGCTAGTTGAGGTAAGACACTCTGGTCTCGTTCGGTTAGCATTAAAAACCGATGTGCTCACAAGTAGACGTGTATGTGTATGTAGTCTGAAACGATGTTTGCTTCGCCTGCCCAAGCTGCTAAACATGTTCCAAGCATCGGGAGGCTATCAAAACTCACAGCGATCCTGGTAAGTCTGATTTCTCGCTACTCAAATATGCAGAATGCAACTGACTGTATGTGTATTTCTTAGATGGACCCGCTCACAACAGTTCGCGAAAAGTTCAACAGCGGCAGTTTAGACGCGTTCTCTTCGAAAGAGCTGGCTGCACTCGTGAGGTGGGCAGAACAATGTTTTTTTGTGGTAAAGTTGAGCTAACCTAAGGTATACATACTTATCTTGCTGGCAGGTCTCTGTTCCGCGAGTCTCCGGAGAAGAAGGGGTTTCTGCAGGAGCTACTTGCACCATGATACAAACGTAAGACAAGACGAAATGTATCCATTTGTGAGTCTAAGGATGTTCGGGCGTTCTATTGGTAGTTCTTTTTGTTATTTATTGTGCACCCCGTATTTTGCACACAGGTGTAGAAGTAACTCAAATCCATTGCTTGTAGCGGAAGTACAGTTGCAGTGCAGCAGCGATGGCAATCGCAAAGATCCAGAAAAGCGCGTAGCCATACCGTTCATGAAGTTCGGGCATGTCGTCGAAGTTCATGCCGTACACCCCAGTGAGAAATTGGCCAGGTAAGAAAACTGTCGTCACTACTGTGAGTGTGTAGATGACGTAGTTCATCTGATTCGCCTTGGCGTCTCGGTATTCTTCCGTGAGTTGGCGACACATCTGCAGTTGCTGCTCGATATCGTCAAGTGCAACAACCACGTGGTCGTGAACATCACGGACGTAGTCGGTCACTGTAGCGTCGAAATCTTTGCTCTCGATGATATTCTTCAGCACCTCTCGTGCTGCTTTAAGCAGTCGAGGAAGTCGAAACAACTCGTTCTTCAATACCCTCAACGAGCGCAACTCGAAGCGATGACGCTCTTGTTCCAGTTGGTTCTCAAGCGCGATTAAACACTCCGTGATCGAGTCAACGACGCTCGTTACCTGGTCCACGATCACGTCGAGCACCGAGTACACAAGGAATTTTGCATCATTATGCCGTAGCTTGGAGTATGGCACAGCCAATCGGCGGTTCAGTTCGGCCCAAATATCACTGTCGCCGCCGTCTTTGACTGTGATGACCGTGTCATTATCCACGACGAAGATAAATACGTGCTCGATCCACAGCTTAAAAGGCTCTTCGTCGTCCTCTTCGGTGCCGTCCGTGGCAGCACTGATACTTCGGTGGAACGACATGCGCTTGACAAAAGTCGGCAGAGGTACCCCTCCTGTGTCTGAGAACAGTCGATTGCGCTTGCGTTCCAAAGGAAGTCCTTTGTCTGCCACTTGCATCCTCAGCACTGGGAACACAAGGAACAGATGGCCATCATATCGATCAAATTTGGGTCGTTCATGACCCTCGATCGTGTCCTCAATAGCAAGAGGATGCAGGCGATACTTGATAGCCAATCTCTTGAGGTTCAGACTATCTCGTCCGTCCAAGTTGATCCAACGCACGTTCACCCACTCGGGTCGATGTGCAGTGAAGAACTCGTGTAAATTCTCCTGTCGTAAGGCAAAACTCTGCAGTCTGGTGCTTGAGAAGTCGGATACAGATAGTGCTGCTTGTTGGTAGCCCGCAGTTCTCATCTCTTGTACAGTTCCTTCGTCGAACATGTGCATCAACTTGAGTCGATGCACTGCAGCGTCAAACTGCTGCAACGAGACCTGTCCATTCTGCTCTCTGTCAATACTCTGCACCAGCTTTAGAAACACCGAGTCGTCCGAGCATCGGATGCCTAGTGTCTCCAATGCAACACGGAATCCATCGTAGCTTAAGTCTCCTCCTTCCTCTGGTGCTGCACCTTCGAAAGCCACACGGAGACGCGGCGGGGTCACGTCGAAGTACGGATCCAGCATGTTGAGTTCATCGCGGTCCTGCATTGATCCGTTGAGCGGGACGTCGGCGAAGCTCTTGTAGTTATGAGGACTGCCGTAACCGTGTCGTGCTGAGGGGCTGAAGAGAAACGATATCTTGTCCACGTTCAGCTCTAGCTCAGTCGTTGGCAGACTGCGACGCATGGAATTCGAGTCTCCGCTATTGACGGCCACAGGGTACGAGGCAAGCTCCGGGTCGCGCGGAGACTCTTCTGGCAGCCGCAGCAGCGGAGTGTCCTCGTCCATGACGTAGAACTCCATGGGCCCGGGCATTGTCGGAACTGGATTAGAAGCGACGCATCGAGTGTCTCGTAAATGATGCTGAGCATATAGTCGCTATTGTTGTCAGTTGTCAGATCGCCATTGATTGGCCAAAAAGATTTTCACTTGAAGCTAAAGCTAGTCGAATCTGATTAAAAACAACTTCAACAAGAATCTTTGTTTGACTTACGCTCGCTTGAGTTTTTCTCGCTCGTCTCTGCGATCAAACCCTGTTCGCACCCACGTCAAGTAGTCACCCACGGAGAGTTTGGCAGCTTCCAACCCGTTGCTGGAAATGAGCTGAAGACGAGTGGCGAACTGTTTTTCGAATTGTGGCTTCTTGGGGCTCCAAACGACCTCTTCTTGAGGCTCTTGGTTGGAAAGGGTCGCGTCCTTCTGTACGATCACCTTACTGTTGACGTACGGGTAATTGTCGGGACATGGTATGGGTCGTGTTATTTCGACCTCTCGAGCAAGCGGCATGATCGTCATCGCATACTCGCTCTCGGTCGAAGGGATGCGGTCGTAGGCGTCCTCAGTGCTGCCTGCGTCGCTTGAGGTTTTTCGTGGAGATGGGGGGTCTATGAAGTCCACAAAGCTGCCAGTCATAGGATTCTGCGGTGGCTGTAGTAGTTTAGACCGCGAGGGGTTTGTCTTGATCTCGTCGCAGCCGTCGCCATCGCTGAAGCCGAACTCCTCCGAGGTGTATCCGTCTTCTATTGCTGATAAGCTAGGTGATGTGCCAGGATACGGCCATGAGGGGAATGTTGGTCGCTCCGCTGCCGCTTTCTCGACAGCAACTTCGAGAATCATCTCCCAATTATCGTATGTCGCTGCATCAGGTGCGCGGAACCGAATGCGCTTTCGCTTGGGTCCGTATACGAGTCCAAAGCGAAGATTGCGTACATCCTTGCCCGATACTGGAAGCATACGCACTGGGTGAACGCTGCCACCGAGGTCGATTTCTAAGTCACCGCCGAATATTGCGGGACGCTTAACGTAAAGCACTGGAACCTCTCGACTCGGAGTGCAATCTCCCAGTTCCCGTCTGAGGACGATACTGATCGTGGATTTATGCCTGCACCCAAACAATGCTGAAGTTAATATTGACACGGGTAGACCTGTATCAACTGCTGCTTGGTGACGCACCAGAACATTCGGCAGGCTTGCATTTGCATGGACGTCTCTAGTGTTGTACATCGAAAAGTTGTGGTCATCGTTTAGGGAACTGTTCTCCTGTTTTTAGTACTTGCTGATAACCTGCGAAGTCGAGAAATGAAAATACGACGACTAGTCGTGGAATGATGCTGGCTGGCCCCCTGCTGGCCTCCCCGCCAATCGAACTAAGACTGTGGAGCACCGCACGCCTCATTCTCTCGATGGCGAGTGGATGGACGAGTGCGTACGCGGTCTGTTGGAGCAAATATCAGTCACAGGATGTGTTTGACCGACGACTTGATCGTCATTACGGACATCTATCGCGTAGAAAGCCGTGGTCAGATAGGTTCGTAGCCAAACAGTTGACCTCGCAGTCATCGTCGGGTACAGTTGATCTATTATCGATACAGTAGACATTCGTCTTGGCGTTCGTATTTAAGCGAGTATAGCAATGACACCCTGTCCGTATCAAAAAGAGAACACTTCCACGCAAGATCATACAAGAATGCAGGTGATGGTGACATCGACTGACGGCGACCAAGTGGCGCAGATCACCGCGGAGCCCACGCAGCAACTCGGATCCGTGGGTCCGCAGTTGCAGCAGCAGGTGAGCCCAGCTCTGCTCCATTGATGTACCAATTCGCTACGCTAACTTGCGCACATCCTTGTAGTTTGGTATCCCTGCGAATGCTCAAGTGCTGATGCTGAATGGTAATCCCTTGCGTCTTGACCAAACGGTAAGTATCACGAGGGAAAATTGCGTTTTTTTTTGCATGCTAAATGAGATGAATCTAACTGCGCACTCGACAGTTTGAGCAAGCGGGTGTGAAAGAGGACGATCTTCTGGTCATTATGCGTAATCCCTCGGCTGCACCGGCTGCTGCAAGACCTGATATCCTGACGGCGGCGGGATTCACGACTCGTCCGGGTATGAAGCTGCACGACATTCCAGTAAGAAAAGCTTCTTGGAGAGCTAAAAAGAAAGGGTGACATCTCTAACAACGGTCATGGTCTCCGGACAGGCTAACCCCACGCCGGAGGTACTTCTTGACATTATGGACAAGAATCCCCAGCTTCTGGTGGAGGTGAGTGGATATGGGGCTGTGTAGAACGAGTTTGGGATATTTAAGGCTAGCGATATTCTGTGCTACAGCTACAACAAGTGAATCCGAAGTTGGCCACGGCACTGCAGACCAAGAGTGTGTCGGTGCGTGGATCTCCGTGCTATTGCCAGTAGAGATTCCAGCTAACTTTGATACTTCTTTATTTCATTTAGGACGTGCGTATGGCGTTGATGCAGATGCACATGGAAGCTGCATCGCGGAAGTTCGAGGAGCAGCAGGAGATTGAAGCTTTGGAACGGAACCCTTTCGACGCCGAGGCCCAGGCCAAAATTGCCGAGCGTATTCGTCTATCGAATGTCCAGAAGAATATGGAGATCGCGATTGAGGAGATGCCTGAAGCATTTGGCCATATCACTATGCTTTACATTCCGTGCGAGGTGAACGGAACGCAAGTGAAGGCGTTCGTTGACTCCGGAGCGCAGTCGACCATCATGTCGTCGGTAAAACCACTATTGCTTGTTCACAAATCGTCTCTGTATCACCAAAAGTACTGATTTTCTGTTGGCCTCTCATATCTGAAGAGTTGTGCGGAGCGATGTGGCATCATGAGGCTCGTAGACAAACGTTTCGCTGGCCAGGTGCTGTTGTATCTGTGAGATTTATACAGCAACTTTTAATATCTAACGCTTGAGCTTTTGGTACAATAGGCAGTCGGTGTTGGCACGGCTAAGATCATTGGACGAGTGCACATGGCTCCTCTCAAGATCGGGAACGAGTTCTATAACTGCAGCTTCACGATTCTGGACCAGCAGGGCGTGGACTTCCTGTTCGGCCTCGATATGCTCAAGCGACATCAGGTTCGCCATTACGCATGCCCCGATATTGATCATCTATTGAGAGCTAAGCGTGTATCCTCTCTCCCCCTGCAACTAGTGCTGCATTGATCTGAGCAAAAGTGTTTTGCGTCTCCACGAAGGTGACAGCTTCCACGAGGTTTCTTTCCTGCCGGAGCATGTACGTGTCTGATATTTTCTACCGCGTCATTCGTTATAGTTATTTACTGGAACTTCTGTGCGGTAGGAAATTCCTACGTCGGAGAACCGTGCAGCTTCTGCGCAACCTCCAGCCACAATTGATGGTGTCCCCGTTCCGGCTTCAACTCCAGGCTCCACCCCAACTTCTGCTGCTGCGGTTCCAACGCCTCCTCCAGCTCCAGTTGCAGCGGGAGGTCAGAGCGACCAGGAGAAGATCGCTCAGCTTGTAGGCTTGGGGTTTCCGGAGCAACGGGTACGAATTCTTGCAAATATCTTCTTGCTTTAGCATAAGTTGTTGAAATCTGTGACGTGTGCTGGCTTGCTTTTACTAAAGGCGATCCAAGCGTTGCAGACTTGCAACGGAAACGTCGAAATGGCTGCTGGGCTTCTATTCGAGAGCATGTAGAGGTCAATTTTAACCAATCCAATCGCGCTTCTTGGGGATTTTTGCCGAATCACACAGCGTTGCCTTTCAATTTACAATAATCGCACAGTAGTCTCGATGGCAGGCGACGATGGGTTCCGTGAGGACCTGTACGAGATCCTAGGACTCGAGCCGGCGGCGGATGAGCGCCAGGTAGCCCGTGCATACAAGAAGAAATCCATCCTGCACCACCCTGACCGCGGCGGCGACGGTACGCGGAGAATAAAGCTATAACCTTGCTTTTCTTCTAACACTATGCTGATGCTGCAGTACAAAAATTTCTGGAGTTGACACACGCGCGTGACATTCTACTGGATCCTAAGAAGAAAGAGGCTTATGACAAGAAGCTGTCGCGCGAGTTGCTGGCTAAAAAGAAGCAGCGCGAGCGAGACGCAGAGCTCGATGGCAAGCGTAGGCAGATGCGGGATGGTGCGTGCTCATTTTCCCCTACAATTACTCAGTATTTACGATTGATCTGACGTTTATATTCCTGGTGATTACAGAGCTGCTGCGTAAGGAACAGAGCTTCGAGCGCACGAGGAAACCCAGTGCAAAGCAGCAGAAGACTGAGCTGTCCAAGCTCCGTGAGAAAGCCTTGGCTCGCCAGCAAGAGCTGCAAGATCGACTAGCTCGGGAAGCGAAGCGGCGAGCTGAGCTGAATAAAAACCAAGAATCACACGGTGCTCCGAAATCACAACGCACTGTGACGTTCAAGTGGGATAAAAAGAGGTTTTCGCACTCAGATGACACGCTTAGTCGAGAGTTACGGTCGTATGGCGAGATCGAGTCTATCAAAATGAAGACGTCGTCTGCGAAGGTAATTTTCACTGAAGCTGTAGCAGCTTCGAATGCTGTACGCGTTGAGGGACACAAGGACTGCTGGCGAGAAGTCTCGATCCAAGGTCACATCGTAGAGACGGACGGCTTCACGTCCACGGAAGACAAGACGACGACGAAGTCAACGTCAAAGCGCAACGTGGTGACGCTGCCTGGGGGTCCAATTTCACTGAAGGAACACTTGGCATTTGAGGAAAAGGTTCTTGCTGCACTACGAGAAAAAGCCAAGTTGCAACAAGAACAACAGCAGCAAATTGCTGTGCAGTCACACTAGTAGATGATAGGCACATATTCTAATGGGTTGGCTAAAGCAATAAATTACGCCAACGTGGCTTTCGTTCACGGTCCATGCTCTTACAGCGCTTTCTCGCTGGATGAAGTCATTTGACGCAGGAACCCCACCCACACAGATGAAATAGCGACAACCTCTTGGCCCTGTCAATAGCAAGAAGCAATCAATTACAGGGAGCATCGTACAAGTTGTTAGTCGCGAGTCTAGTGACGAACCACATCGTTGAGGTGTTCCATGTTCTGGTTCAAGATGTGCACGTTTGACACGGCTTCCTGCATCCCCTGGAGCACACAACAGCTTTTAAGCTTTAAAGTTTAAGTTGAGGAGTCAAATTTTGGCAATTAAACCTCTCGAATTTCATCCTCGATACGCTGTTTCTCCTTCTGAAACCACTCCTACAACACCAAAACCGAATACATTAAGCATTAGAGCCCACAATCATCACCACATAGTTTATATCGTTGGTGCGCACCCTGTCCGGGCCACCGCGCGAGTCTCTTCGCGGCACTTCGTCCATGATGTCCAAAATTCAAAAATGATGTCCAATACATAAACCCTTCTCTATCTCATATTCATTATTTCAGGTCAAGTGACGTCGTCCTATCGCTTCAAAGCTACACAAATCCAAATTCGTTACCCCAGGGGGACACCGCCAAGGTCGCAATGATCAAGTCGCTATTGACGCTGCTAGTGCTGGCGCTGAGCGCCGTCTCTTTGAATGCCGTGCAATTTGACATCCGACGCCGCGCTGAGAAGTGTCTGAGCGACGAGGTAGCTCAGGGAAGCCTCGTGGTGGTTCACTACAACGTGATCGGCGGCGTGCGTGGCCAATCGGGCGTCTCATTGGCCATTACGGACCCGCTGCGCAAGTTCCTCAAGCAGGACGCTAACATCGACACGTCGTCCGACGATATCCACAAGTTCTCGTTCACTGCGGATGCTGGTGGCAACTATGCCGTGTGCTTCGTCAACAGCAACGACAAGCCCGTGCGTGTGATGCTCGACTTTAAGCACGGTGTGGAGGCCAAAGACTACACGGAAGTGGCCAAGCGCGAGCACCTCATGCCTGTCGAGAAGGAACTGCGCAAGATGGAGGACACAGTGGACGAGATCCACCGCGAGATGCTCTACATGCGCGAGCGCGAGGCCACCATGCGCAACACGAACGAGTCTACCAATTCGCGCGTGCTCTGGTTCAGCTTCTTCTCCATCGTCGTGCTCCTTGGCATGGGCGTGTGGCAGGTTATGTACCTCAAGAAGTTTTTCAAGAGCAAAAAGCTCATCTAAGTACACACCAACACTAGCGCGAGAGAGCGACAGGGCTCCTCTCCTCGGCTTGCTTCAAGCAAGTTGGTTGTGCGTGGTAGATTTTTAGATGATTGGACGGATTTCAGCTTAAGCATCGACGCAGGTAACAGCTCGTCATTTCGCCTTTTTAACATGTAACAGGGTGTCAGCTGGGTCCATTATCCACCAAGAAATGTGAAGTTAGTGTACAGCGTGTGCCTGCATCTTTCTTGCCGGTATAAATAGGAGAAGTTTTGAATGGCTACATTTGTACGCGTTTGCGTCCGTTTGGCCTTCTTAACATGGTATCAGGTGATTGCTTTGTGCTAAGACTATTTTGCGACTTGGCTTTCGTAACTTGAAGTCATGGTAGATCTCCACGATGGGGTCTCGAGTGATGAGGAGCAATATCCTCCGGATGACGAAAGCGGTCCGGCCTGGGAGACTGCACCGGACAACGACGACGAGGAAAATGAAGCTGGTAGTGACGATGCGTTCTCTGATCGGTCCCGAGACAACGGCCAAGGAGACATCAGCGATGGGGACTTTGAAGACGCTTGGCTGGATGACTATCTCCCGGACTCCCATAACGAACATGCTAGCGAGTTCAACGCGCCGCTACAACATCTTGACAGTCAAGAGGATAATGAGAGGACCGCGTCTCGTTCGTCGAGTTTGTCGGTAGAAGAAGACACAACGGCGTCCCTCATGGTAGTCGACGCTACTGGTGAACCGGTGGCGAACATATCGTCTCCGAGGCTTGCAGGACTCACAGCTCTTAAAGGAGGCAACTCATACTCTGAACATAATAGTGCCTCGTCAGCAATGATCCACCCCATTCCGGACATTATTCCACTCGACAAAAGTGGTCGAAGTGATTCATCTCCGACACTGACGTCATTGTCGCCATCAACATCACCTTACAAGCGCGCCAACAGCCTCATAACCCCTCGATCCACCACCACAACGAAGGTCTTCTCCGTCCAGCATTCCAATGGCAGTGATGACGGTCAAACAGGTCTATCTCGACCCACGCAGTTCTGGGATTCAACCGACAACACGAAGAGAAGTTCGTCACGTCTTCTAGATGAGTGGAAGCGCAGGGAAATGTGGCAAGACTTAAAACGCGCAGAAGAAAACGTCGTCACACCGAGTAGCAGCAAGCACGATGAGCCTTCACCTACACGCTTACAGAAGTACAAACGTGCAGCTTCCGATGCTCGACTAGACACTTTGCTACAGACTCTTCAAGCTGAAGTTGCGACGCCTTCGCGTCGTGAGGAATCTGCTGTGAAGCAACAGAAAGAGTCTCGTCTTCAACGACACAACTCGATGCACAGCGCTTCGTCTATGAGTCCTGTGAGTGAAGACGGTCGAGAGTCTGGTTCCTTTTCTAGACGATCGCGGACGTCACGACCGTCTACCCCGTCTTCACATCCATCACCTGAATCAACTGTGCCCTCTGTTCCTTTATCGGACTTTGAGAAACTGCAGCAAGAGAAGCAGCAACTGCAACGGGACAAGCAACTCTTACAACAAGAGAAACAAACGTTGCAACATGAGAAGAACTTGCTGCGAGTTGAAGTGGAGAAGGCTCATGATGACTCTGCAGTCGACAAGGAGAAACTTCGACTTCTTAGTGAGAAATTGCAAAACGAGAAGACGATGCAGCTCAGCGAGAAACAACTCCACCTTGACATCATTGAAAGAGAGAACCGCAATCTAAAGGAAGAAACGCAGAAGCGCGAGATGCAAGCTCTCAGCTCCAACGAGTTCGTCAAGACACTCCGCGACCAGCTCACGCTCACCAGTAAGAGCGAAGAGCAGCTGAAGCTGCAAACCAAGCAACTCATGGAGCAAAACCAGTCTCTACAGGCAGATCTGTTGGACAAGATTGCGTCCGAGACGAGCAAGTTCCAAAAGATGGCAAAGTTGTCGGCTGAGAACGAGTCACTAGTGGAGGAACTTGAGCGAAAAGACCACGTCATGGGGGAGCGAGAGCTCGAGGAACGTCAACGTATGCGAGGCTTGGTCATTCACGGACTCTTGCGCTCGAAACGACGAGATACACTTCGTTCTGCGCTCTTCCAGTTGTCCGAGTCAGCTCGAAGCGTGACTTCAGCCCGTCTTCAAGCGCTAACGCTGCTATCAAATGCGGACCATAGTCGTGTACTGAAACTAAAAGCTGCAGCTCTCAGTAAACTCAAGCACGCTGCACGTGTGACTCATCATACTGCAACAACAAAGAAGCTTCAGCAAAGTCTTGACACTGCGAAGAAAGCGTCCAAAGCGTATCGCATTCTGCTTGGCGTGATGCACTTGGATCGACTTATGGACCACTGGGAACACCGTCAAGCTGCGAAAACTTTTACGACTTGGAAAGCAATCCAACGAGAGCATAGAATCCTGTCCCGAGCTTTAGAACTGGGGTTATTAAAACTGAAGGTAGTCTTCACGGTTCAAAGGAAAGCTGCAATCTGTAGAGCCCTGTCCAAGTGGCAATTCGCTACAACACGTGATAATAATCGAGGGAATCTCGAGCGTGTACGTCAACTGGAAAGCAGCTTGGCCGAGGCAAAAGAATGCGTGTTCTCCTTATCACGTGCGAAGACGAAGCTGGAGGAGAAACTTCAAACTTCTCGCGATGAAATTCAACGTCTCACTGGCGAATTGACAGAAAGCGGATCGGAACTGCAGCTTGTGAAGCATGGATTCGTCACTACAGTAATTCGTGATGCCGAACGCGCATGGTTACGTACAATACTGTCACAATGGAGGACGCAAACACACGTGTCTGCTGCCACGAAAGAGCTCCGCTTGCAGGTTGAAATGGCTGAGTTAAAAGCTGCCGAACGCGACAAGTACTCCAAGTCTCTGGATGACTACAGCCGTGTGCTACGTAGCGATCTCGAGCGGTTCCAGTTTTTCTCGCTGGATAAACGGATCACCGTGGATGTGCTCTCGAAGAAGCTCCTGCGTGAAGAAGAGCGCTACCGTCAGATGGAAGAGCGCCACGTTACGCTCGAGGAGAAGGCTCATGCACTCAAGACGCAACTCGCTTCGTTCGTCGAGTGGGACGGACTTGTACTGCCGTTTTCCGTACTCGTACTGTGCAAAGATGTCGCCGTAAACAACCTCCGCGAGCTCTTCCAGCTTCATGCAGCAGCCGACAGTGGAGAAGGAAGTAGCATGAACGGCGAAACTCCAACGCCTCGACTCGCGATGTCTTCACTTGTTCGTATACTCGAGTACTCGTCGCTACTTGAGGAGAAAGTCATCGACCGGGAGGCACTAGCGGATCGACTAGCTCGCCATCTTCCTCCTTACGCAGTGGAGCGAGGTCTTCTTTTTCCGGACTTCGTGACGGGTCTGAACCGGTTTTTAAATGAAGTTTTCGCGGCCAGCAACACCAAGCGCGAACAGCTAAAACGATTCTGGGCAAGCCTGCTGTCGCTTCTAGGAGCAGTTCAAGGTCGTGCAAGTAGCACTGCTGTAGCTGCGTCGAGTAATGGCCAAGCTGTCAACGGTGCTAGTGAAAATGGTACTAGTCTGGTGTTGTGTCCTTCACGAACTTCGTGGGCGGGTCATCTGAGCGATGACATCCTTCAAAACCAGGAAAAACTACTTGCAGTGCTAGAACACGAGACGGCTGTCGTAGAACGCGCCGTCATGGAGAAGGCATCGCTCAAACACACGTACCAACCCAGTGATAACGGCTCGACGGGTAGTGTCGCTCGAAGTGGAAGCCTTGGGAGCTCCACAATGCTCGAATATCAATGTGAACCGCTTCTTCCTCCGGGATCACCAGTCCACTCGACCGCTACAAGTGTAAAATCGAGCAACTCAATTTCGCGTAGTGCTGAACCAACCGCACCATCTGGAACAACTGCAGCGTTTGCGATGGAGACGTATGCAAACTGGCATCTCGCTCCTCAAGTGCGAGATCTCTTCCTGGCTTTCCACAAGCCGCTGCTCAAACTTCTCGTCCAATACTCCGGCGGCCAACGTATCGCTGCATTCGGTAATCAGTACTGTCTCAACTCGTCTACAGTGTTCCGCATGCTCAGTGATCTCCAACTGCATCCGAGTTTCCTGTCCAAAGACTTCGTTCAATCTCTGTTCGACCGGTTCCACGAGACGGGAGAAGGTGGCTTGTTGATGTTGACACCTCAGGGTTTCACTCTCTTGCTGGGTTCGTGTGCACTCGAATTATACGCTCGGTCACTTGCGAGCAGTCAGACTAAACCCGAGTTCCTGCTCTCAGCTCGAGAAGTTCTTTTGTCTTTCTTCGGCGACTTGGGCTTACTGGCTGAGAGTGAGATTTCCGCGACTTTGAAGCTGTGTTTTGTAGGTATTGAAGTTGAGACGATCCTTTGGCCACTCTTCGAGTACTACGCGAAGTCTGCAGAGACTAACGCCGGAGGAGACGACACTCGAGTCGGGATGACAGCGGTCACCTTTGAGCGCTTCATGGCGGATATAGCAGGGAAGGCTGCAGGTGACTCGCGCCCAATATTTCGGCGAGTAATGCAGAACCTTAACAAGAATCAGGAAATGGGAGCGAGCGGAACAAAAGATGAAGACGATCAACACTGGAAAATGCACCTGGATGAATTCTACGTTGCCATTTCTTACGTACAAAGTGAGCGAAGTCCAGGGACAGCATACTCGACTCCAGGAGAAGCTGTACGACAGTGGCTGCAGCAAACGCAATAACGAAACAGCGTGTAGGACAACGTGAGCGAGCAAATAGTAGTAGCAGTATGTAAGCAATGAAGACGATGCCTACCCAACCCACTCCCATGCGTTCCGAGGTTTTATCATCCGTCATGATGCCTACGATCTCACCTCGGTGATCGGAGCTAGCTGCACCACCATCACGCGGTTGTTTGTCTGGATAGGAGTGCCAACATTGGACGAATCTACCTGATACTTCAAGCTGCGGAACGAGTTCTGCTTCGCTCTACATCGGAATTGCAACTCAAAGTTCTTCAACTCTGGGCTGTTTGCCATCATGTCTTGTAACGCAGCAACGTCGCGTTGTTGATCCTCCAGACTGAACGACGTCATAAGCACAGGCTTGCACGATAACAGCACGGCCGTCAGAGTGGGTTCCCAGCTTTTGCGCAGATGAGGGTGACCGACTCCAGGATTATACAGCACAAAGGCGTCAGGGGTTCCCAGCTTCCTTGCTTCAATCTCGTGATAGAGTCCATTGATCATTTCCAGTTGGATGAATTCGTTTTCGTTCTTTCTGGTCGTGGGTGTCTTCTTCCGCGCTGACATCACCGGCACATGGTCTCCAATCAGCTTTATAGCGAACTGACGTCCAGGGTGGAAGAACGACAGCTCGTCCCACAGATAACGAGGCATCATCGCTTCCGCGCGAGCTCCGACCACATGAAACTCGAGCTTCTTGGTGGTGTCTGCCTGGAATTGGTCCGTTAACTCTGGGAGGAACCTGCTGAGCGTCATGACGTACGAATAGGCCGACGACAGCAGTCTCAAAGCCCTCACTTCGTCCAGCCAACGTTTGTCAGGGTGATAGAGTTTCAAGTAGTCCGTCCATGACGTCAGATGTCTGTCACCTTGCCATTTGCTGCTCTCCCGTCGATTCGCCTGCAATACTGCATCAGCTCGTTCGTAAATATTCGATTGTGCATACACTATGTGACAATCTATCGTTAACCTTCAGCGAAGAGCTTGGACGCTTCGGGTGTTGCCGAGTACTCGACATCCTCGACCATGCTGTCGTACAGCGCTAACACCTCGGACTTGGTCTTCTGCAGCGTGTCGGCGCATTCCTTTTTGACATACACATCTTGTCAAGAAAAGATCTGTTAATAGAAACGTTTCGAAACTATGACCGACCTTGGAACAGGACAGAGGTAGTTGCTTCCTGCCGCAGTCCGCACGCTCAGCCAGCACATCGCTAATGTCGGAGGAGCGCGAGAGCGACAGTTCCGTCTGGAGGCCACATTGCAGGCATGGCAAGCGAGCTACTGCTCCCACTAGTGACTGAGCACCAGGAATGCGCAGCTGGCGAGACGAGATGCACCGTACGGCGCCGAGCAGGAGTGATGGCCGACGCAGCATGGCAGATTAGCATTCCGCAATTCTGAATGCGGAGTGATAAATGGCGTGCTATGGTTGGATGAAATAAATCTTTTTTGTTGAAGCTGTCTTCAACTTGACATTTAGATCCCATGGAGCCGTCTCATTCTGAAAGGAAGTTACGACCAGCGTTTCTTGCGTCATTCTTGTACGCAACTTATGAACATGTTTTTGATAAAGTATGGTACGGACATGTAGTTATCGTTGGGTACTTACGCTTAAGGTGCAGAGCTTTCGGACTCAAGTTAGTCGTCCTGTCGAGTCCCCTATTGTACTATGTTCACTTTCTAGACTTGAATAGAAAAAAATCTTCGCTAGGCGCTGCTGGTCGCGCTTGCGTTGCAAAATTGGTTCTTGATTTACATGTCGGCAATGTACTTGAGTGCGACTTCAAACATGGTGAGGAAGTAGCCCACCTCGCCCAACATCAATGACGGGTGAATCATAGCGCCCAGCAGCTCCTTAGTAGCTAGCGGTCGCTTCAGTCCGCTCTTCACAACAACATAGATGTGGATGGGGAGGTAGTCGTCTGCAGTCAAAGCCGAGTTCTCTCGCCACTCCAAGTTCTTCTCGCCGCAGCTCTTAAAAATCTCCAGTGCCGCACGCAGCAGCTCCTGAATTTTGTCCATAGGTAGCGTTCGCTCGTCAATCATGCTCAGATGGTGGCACGATAGCCCCCAGTCCTCGTCGGACTGTAAGTGCTCTGGGATACCACTCTCAGTTTGAGATCGGCACTTCAAGCGCTCAATATTGCGCGCCAGACGCAGTTCTGCCTCTTTATCCACCGTCCAGCCCACGAGGAAGTTCACCTGTTTCTCGAGTGGTACCAAAATGGTGTCCTCCACCGCGTGGAACACGCAGTCGTCCAGCACAGACGACACATCGACACTTTGATCCAGTAACGACAACGTATCGGCGTACTGCGGGTCCAGATTCTCTGAAATGTACTTTTCAATGCTCGTCACGGTATTCCGCAGGTCCTTGACGGCCGCTGCTGCCAGCGCAATTCCCTCAAACTTGTTGCATTCAGAGCACACGGCTGTTTCAACCGTTGCTGCGCGGTTACGGAATGCATGTAAGAACTGGTAGCACGTACTACCTTCCACTGCTCCTTCGCAGTTAAGGCGACGGAACAGATCGTAGCTCAGCCATTTGGGCTCAATCGGTTCCCCTGTCGTGTCAATCTTCTCCAACGAAGACACAAACTCTGCAGAGCACATCTCCAGCTGCAGCTCCATCAAAATGCTGCGTTGCAAGCGCGACGTTGGCTCTAAAGCTGCCAGGTTTCTCAAAAAGACCTCGATCTCGCACAAGCCGCGACTAATTGCTGCAGTGCTGGCTGGTCGAAATCGTCGCCGCGGGAAGGGAAGGTCCAGTAGGAAGCGTAAATAATCCCTCTCTTCATCGTCGGCTTCTGGCGCGCGGCGGACCATGCCGCGTACTTTGCGTCGAAGGTAGTAAAAGTCGCTAAAGCGCTTTTTCGTGATCCAGAATACACGAGTGTGTAGATCCACAACGTGCAGCACATATTCGGTGACAGCAGGCATGGAGCTCACAGTCTCGCATCGAACTACCCGCACGGAAAGACCTGGACGTAGTCCACAATATTTCCAATCTGAGTACTGCTCGAGCGTCATGCTGCGAGCACGTTTCTGTGATTTTCCTTTGGTCGGCGAGAATACAAGCGGCGGCATCGGCGGCAAGATACTGGAGCCGGTACCTGATGAAGATGAAGATGCGCCAGCAGCTGAGGCCGCAGAAGCGGGTCGTCCAGCAGTCTCAGGGTATGCTGCAGCGTCAGGGTCCATTTGTCTGCGACTGGCGCCGTCTTCTATCCTCCAAAGTCCTGGGATGGAGCTTCTGACGGTCTTCATCGACTTGGCTTGTGGGCTGGAATCGACCATGTCCGGGTCCATTTCTAAAAGGAAACTCGGCTTCCTATCCCCATGCTACAATCATAACGGCATGGTCCACCCATCAGTCACCACAGCCAACGACTTAAAAATGCTCCACAGTTACGCATTCGCACCTTGTTTGTTCCTCGGCTTAAAATGGAGCGGGAAATGTGTTGTAGCAGCCGGCTCTCGTGGTGCGATGACATGCGTACGGCGAGCTTGTACATGACGTGGCCCGCAAGCGTCGAGTGCGCGTGCTCATGCGCGTGCTCGTCGGCTGCGTCGGGCTCTTTTTTCTGGGCAAGGTCGACAAGAGAGAACGCAGGGGCCACGGGCGCCAGTGACGGCTGTGGTGGGAGCTTGACTAGCCTCCGCCAGCCCGCTCCTGCCTCCTCCTCGCCCATGGGCTGCAGCTCGTCGCACTCGATCTCCGTCTCGCTGCTTGCGCGCTGGTCGCGGCCCCCGGCAACGCCGCTCATGCTGCTTGCACGTCGACCCTGGAACTGACGAGCAGCGAGGGCAAGTGTCGTCGCAGTGGTGGTTTGATTGTCGGCGCAAGAAGCCTGTCCTACAGCGCTGGCGATTACGGCTGCCGATGCTTTGTGCCTGGGCTGACTTTGCTTGTTTAATTGAACCCTAAATGGTAATTAAGAGGAATGATAGGCTTATTGCTTTATATAATTTATAAATGTCTTAAGCTCGCCCACAAAAGCAACCAAACTAAATGAAATACCTGAGGTCATGCTTGATGATAAACGTCAAGGGAGAGGCGGAATCTGAACTCACGTCGCAGAAACGAGGGAACAACGCACTGGTGCAACATTTTGCAGCTGCAGTAACATTCACGTTACCTCCACGTCGGGTTTCTGCTCGACAAAGGCACCAAAATCCACTGACCATCTGGAGGCAGATTAGAAGAAAAGGGCGGACCAAACTGGAGGCATAATGTGTCTGTAGCACCTAGCAGTTACCGTGGGGCGCCTAATACGTTTCGCTTCCATTTTTTCGGGCCCAGCATTATTTTGCAGTAAGAATACAAAAGCTGCTTAAGTTGACAATTTTTAGAGAGATGCGCCAATACTGAAGTCAAGTAAATGGGGCAATCGTCCCACTCCTTTTCAGCACTCTGATTTGTTATAAATGATCTGTTTTTTAACCAATCACAAGCCATTAATTGTCTCGACTACGTCAGCATTCAACTTTAGCAGTCGCACCACCTGTGTCTCTTTCCTGCGGGATCTGGAGATGACCACCGAATTGCTGACCAATCGGTTGAAGAGGGTGTCATCCTGATGTTCGGGGCAGTCGCATTTGGTCTCCAAGTGCTTGGATCTTTCAAGGAGAGTTCACTTGGAATTGGGGCTGATTTGAATGGTGGTGTTTTGTCCGTCCGCCATTCAAATCGACATTCTTCCTTTAGCTTGCTGTCCTCGAGCCATCAATTCCTTGAGCTTGAGCGAGAAGTGTTTGGAGACATGAGCTGCGGGAACTCCGGCTCGAGGTCAATACAATTCTGGTCGAAGAGCGCCGATATCAGCATCGACAGACTATTTTTGCTGCTCTGCGCTCAATTGTGTCTCACAATTTGCCACTTCAACCGCTGTAACGCCTCGTTTTAAACGAGTCAGCAGCAAGGCGATTTGACAGCTTAAACGACGCTTATCACCTCTGAAGGTACTCTTATTGTCGATCAACTGAAGATGCTCATCTGCTCCTGGTCTGTGGTTCACGTAAGCGTTCTAGATTTTGGAACGCCAAATTGGACAAGTCTTTTTTTTCTTTTCAAGATTAACTTTAGAGCTTTTTTAAGGTTTCCCGATCCCGCGATCTACAGATCTTGAGAGGTCGCACTCGGTGATCAACTCTCGCAAAGATGGAGCAAGTCGAAGCGCGGCCTGTGCTGGATCGCGTAGAGCAGCGCCGTCGGTATGGACTGGACTGCGGCGACGCTATCCGCTTCGAAGCCGGGTCCTGGGCGCCGGGCGGTGAGCATGTGCGGCAGCTCACCGTGCGCAACGTGTCACAACGCACCATCAAGTTCAAGTACGAGCTTCCGCGCACCAAATACTTCAGCATGAACTTCCCCACCGTTATGACACTTAGTCCAGGCATGCTCACGACGCTGGATGTGGCCTTTCGACCAGTTAAACTCGAGGAATACGACGACTTCGTGGGTTTCCACGTCCATCTCATCGAGGGCGGCGTCGCTGCAGTCTCCGGGCGCTTTCGAGTGCCCGTGGTGGCGCGCATTGCAGCACTCCAAGTGGAGATCCCGCACGGCATAGATTTTGGCTTCTGTCCTACCCAAGAGACCACACTACAGAGCTTCATGCTGCACAACTGTGGACAGATCGATGCTTTATTTGACTGGACTGTGCCCGCAGCAGGGGAACATGGAAGACCGTTCGCAGTTCGACCGGAGTTTGGACGAGTGAAGGCTGGGACGAGTATAGAACTCACTGCGAGCTTCTGTCCTTCTACCGCCTCTGTATACGTCACCACCACCACCTGTATTGTCAAGGTAACGCCGCGTATGTTGCTCAAAAGCTCAAAATGATCTAACCTTTCTCTTACTTGTTGCAGCCAGACACCGCTGAGTCGTATGCATCGACACACGTACTGGTAGAAACGATGAAGATCAGTGGCATCAGTAAGTTTACGCATTTGTCAGCCTCAGAGACAGAGCTAAACTATGGAGAGGTGCTGGTTGGTGCACCGAATACAAGCCGCGCTCCGACGGAGAAGGAGTTTATCTTACGGAACCGCTCGCTAGTGCGTGCCAGCTTCAGTATTGAAAGCGTCGAGCGTGATCACGATCCCAGATTCTTTTTCTCGCCGTTGAGCGGTGTCGTGGACGCTGAGTCGACAGTTACGATTAAGGTGCGGTACACTCCGTTGAGCGCAGGTACATTCACGTGCGACCACTTCGATATCTTGACGCCTGGTGGCAATCGAGTCCGAATCACATGCAAAGGTCGAGCTATTGGCCCCACACTGAGCATCTGGCGGAAGAATTTGGAGTCAAATTTCATACCTACGCGGTCCGTGAACTTTCACGACGTTCTTGTGGGAGAAAAAGTCGTATCGCGTGTCATTACACTGCGGAACGAGTCGCCCGTTGAGATTTTCTTCCACTTTGATGCGCAGTCGAAAGGTGTGTTCTGCTTTGACCGAATCACAGGCAAGATCCCGCCGTTCTTGGACCTGAACATCACAATTTACTTCTCTCCGCCTCACTCTGGAAACTTCTATCGCCGGTTTTTCCTGCTAGTCCGACATCAAAGTACACAGTACGTGGATGTCCTGGGGACTGGATACGACGAGAAAACGCGTCCGTCTCCTTTCCAACAGGCCCACGTCGACGCGTATCGTCTTCGTGCTGCAGCAGGTCTTGCACGCCTTTCACCGGATCAACTGGAGACTTATCACGAAGAGAATGGTGACGCTTTGTTCCTCAAAGGCGCACTCCAACGATCAAAAAGTGATGAAATTTTGGACACCAACGATACCGATTCATCCGTATCGCAGCTCCCTCACCCCAGTCGAATCCTCACTCGAAGCGGAGAAGCTTCGTTGGCTGACGTCGAGGTTTGTTGTGAATACTTCATCAGCATCGAGGACAAGGCCAACCCGATAATAATTCTTGGTGCGTTTCTGGACTTTGGGAGCTGCGGGATCGTTCAATTCCCATCAAAAAAGATCCTTCTAGTGACCAACAATACCCACAGCAAAGTGACTTGTTCATGGCGAGTAGCCGTGGCACCAGGCCCCTCGAGTGATGACCAGTCAGTGTTTCAAGTATTCCCGCCCAGTAGTGACATCGCCGCTGGTGCTACAGCAGAATTCCGTGTTGCCTTCCAGCCCTCTCGAGTCAATACTTACTATTTCGCCGAGCTGGAAGCATTTGCTTCCTTCAAGTCCAACCGCACTTTCCGCTTGGTAAATGTCGATACGTTTACCCCTCCTTGGTGTTTAGTGGCCAAGACATGCGGCAACACGTTTGCCTCGCCAACAGAGCAATTTCTACCGAAGATCAGCTTCCAAGTGACGAAGAATAAGGTGAATTTCCCGCCCTGTTACCTCGGCGATAGCGTTTTCCAGACAATTATGATCGAGAACGCGAGCGATACTCCTGCTATCTTCGCGTTTGTCGAAGATCCGGCTGAAGTATTCTCGTGCAAACCCATGTGTGGCTATATTGAAGCCAAGTCTTTCCATCTCGTGGCGATACGATTCACTCCTCGCAACGTGCGAAAGTACTCGTGCTTTCTTCAATGTATAGTGAATAATGCGCGGGCCAAGCCGGAAGTCTTAGAGCTGACAGGTATTTGTGCTCTACCGCAACTGAGTTTCCAGGACGTAGAAGCAGGTCAACTAATCTCTTCCGAGGCCAAAGTGTACGTCAAACCTACCTCTATACGTCTCCAGTCTGTAAGACAGTTAGAGTTGATCAACACTTCTCGTGTTCCGCTTGTGTATCGATGGGAATTACCACCGAAACACCAGGACGTGTTCCGAGTCAAACCGAAGCTAGGCAGACTCAACGGGAGAGAATCAACGTCCATCGAATGTTCCTTTACGCCCAACGAGATCCGCGAGTATGCCAGTCGATTTCTTGTGGCTGTCAAGTCCATCAGTGTGCCACTAGATCAGCGCAAAAGCCTCAAGATGAAGATCCCAGTACTTCAAGAGCTCACTGTTCGAGTGCAAACCAAGGGAACGACAGGGGCGATTCTATTCCAGCCGGAAAATCTCAAGTTCGAAACAATTCTCGTCAATTCCAGCTCGAAGCAGACGTTCTTCATCGAGAACACAGCGGACTGCGACCTCATGTACTCACTGCAGCAGTCGATGGTCGTAAAAAACAAGAAATCTCGACAAAGCGATGAAAACGATACGGCCAGTAGCGATGAAGATGAACCTGCATCAACTCCGGAAGGGAAATTGGTTTTTTCGCAAGCTGAAGGTTGTATCCCAGCGCAGTCACGGAAGAAGATCACGGCGAAATTCTTCCCTACATCAGCCGGACTGTTTACATTCGAGGTATCCTGCATTGTTGGGAACCAAGAAACATCATCTCCTTACGATACCTGGGGGCGTCCTGAGCTCAAGCCAGCTGCATGTATCATTCAAGCGGAAGCTTCTTTCCCGACTATCGAAATTCAGGATCTGCGTGTGCCTGGCTTGTCGACACAACTAGCCTGGTACCAATTCCGATGCAACGAGATCAATGAGTATCTTGCCGAACCGTTAACACAAGAGGAGGAGAAACGAGGTAGTTCAGCAGTCATAACTGAATCTGCTGCCCCGGAATCCGACGATCTTGGACAAGAGAATCTGACCCAGCGGTTCGCTCTCCCGTTCTCTCCTGCTCCCTTGGGAAGCCGTACGGAAAGAGTATTCCTGAAGCTACGGAACCCTGGCAGTCTTGTTGTGCAGTATCATCTACGCCTTCCGAAAGAGGGCACTGTGGAGATTGAACACTGGGCTGAGACGGGTGCTCCATCAGCTGAGGAACTACGCTTGAACGCCATCATTGACAGTAAAGTATTCAGCATCTCGCCTCGACGAGCGACTCTGCTGCCACGTCAAAGCATTCTCCTGACCCTTTCGTACTCTTACAGCTCAGAGGCTTTCGACGGTGAACACAACCTGCCCTTGTTTTTAGAAGTCGACAAAGGTAAGAAAGTGGTGTTGGAGTTGCAAGGCCGAACACTGAGGAACAAAGAGCCCAAGATGTTCCTACCAACTCAAGTATTTCATCTCTCTCCAGTAACAATTGGCGAATTTCGACAAGACTTCCTGCCTCCTCTAGCCTTAATCTCGAGGAAAAAGAGTGAAGACTACAGTGGTCAACGGGAGCAATCGCATTCTCGAATGGGTAGACCGCCAGTGCAGCAAATTGAGGTGTTTAATCGCGGAGATAGCGCCCTACGCTTAGACATTGGAAGTGTCTCGTTCAACCAGGTAAACGCTGCAAATTACGGCTATCAAGTGCTCACTTGTACCAGCAATTCTGAAATTATTGCAGCCAAGAGCTCAATATTCCTGGATATCGAGTTTAATCCGATCAAAGTGGGCACCATAGAGGTCCCATTGCTGCTGAAAGCTCACGGTCTAATGGGTAAAGGGTATAAGGAAATGGTGGAGGTCACTATCGTCGCTACGGGGTATCATCCGAAGCAATGGACACTGCAGCAAATGAAAAGAGAGCTGTGGCTTTCAACAGCGCCGCCGACGAAGCAAGCGCTGAGTATTTCAGATCTACCGGCGTGTTTTGTAACTGATTACGTTGACTTTGGTCATGTTTCAACGCACTCAGAAGTCAACCAGCTTCTTGTTCTGCAAAACGAGGATACGGAAGATCCCGGCGTTGTCCCCCGCAGTTTTGTCTTCGAATGGGACGCGATGCATCCACTTGTTGCCAATGGGACCGTCTTGTTCTCGCCGCAGCGTGGTGAGCTTGGACCTGGGGAGAAGTCGCTTATTCGAGTTAGTGTTGTTGCAGGAGGTGACGCCTTTGTGGTCAATCACGACGTTGCGTGCACGATCACTTACAGTGAAGAACACACGGACAGTATTAGCAACAACGCAGCGTCACGAAGTCCGACACACTCCAGAGGTCTGCCAACGAATACGAGTCGAGCTTACGACAACAAGACTCGAATGTCCATCATCCATCGCTCTACAGCAACACAAGAAGCAGTTGCTGACAAGCGTGGCAGATCGGGGGCGAAATTGGCGACACTAAACAGCAGCGACACTCCATACACGCAGACACCGCTACAACGCAGTAGTCATAGCAGCTCGCAAAAAGTGTTGTTGCAATCTCAATCAACTCGCAGGGGATCTCCAGAACGAACTGGAATGATGTCGAGTAGTGACAGTCGTCATCTGGATGTGCTCACTGCTTTGGAGCCGACTCCTCTATTTGTCCGGATATACGCGCACGTGTTGCCACTGGATGTGATGGAGAGGATTTATCCTTATGAAGAGCTGAAGAAAATGCCATTGCCGACTACGAAGCAGATTTCGCATGTACCCACTGTCAGAGATGCAAAGACTGCTTCGTCCAGTACGAGAGACACACCCACTCCAACTAAGGCGAGTAGAAGACTTAATAGCAGAGGTCGTACGGAGACCAGCAATCCTGGTACTGCCTCAGCCTCCTTCATTGAAAACGAGTCTGACACTGCACAATGCCGCGATGTGTTGTACGACGTCATGGAGACACTACTGATGGACGTAATGACATCCAGTGTGATCCAAGGGGCCCTGGAAGAGCAGCTCGTGCCGCTTCCGCGCTCTGATCGGGCGGTTGAACACGCTTCTACCTCGAAAGGGGCCAAGGCCATTCAACCGCGAGAATCTCTGTACCACGACGTCCGGCAAAGCGACGACTGCCAGGCGATTGTTGCGAGTGTGATGGAGAATACGGTGTTCAACGTCCTTCAGGAGCTTTTCTACGGAGATCTGGAGCAGGAACTGCTTTGTGTTCCTAGGAAGACAGTGTTCCCGAGTGCTGCTGGCTCTCCTGTGGCCTCTCACCCACCTGCCGTTGACGCAGAAACCAATAAGAACAGTCAGTCACTACTCAAAACTTGAGTATTTTTGAGAACCCGAAGTCGTTCTGGTGGATAAAGCACAGGTTTTTATAAGGTTTATGAGCTCTTGGCAGCCTCCTCTGGCTTCTCGTTGTGGAAATCCTTAGCAAAAGTCTCCGCCACGATTAGAGGGAACACCAGTGTAGCGTCAGCGTAAAGTTTGACTGGCTTGGAGCCCAGACGCAGTTTACCCCACGACACGGCCTCGTCGGGCCTGGCACCGGCGTCGCTACCGTCGAACTCCTGGCCAGTGTTGACGAACACGGCGTAGTCGGCGCCATTGCGCATGAGGTTAGCGTTCAGAATGTGGTGCTTGACCATGCCGCCGCCGAGAATAATGACGCCTGTCTTGCCAGGAGCACGGATGGTGTGGTCGTTCATACGACGAATATCGCTGGCAATATCGACCACAAGCCCCTCGTTACGGTACGAGTGGAAGTAAATCATGTCGCCAATCGATCCATCCGTCAGCGACGGACAGAAGACGGGGATGTTGTTCCTGTAGCACCAGTAGTAGACCGAGTCCTCGTTGTTAATCTCCTTACCCAATCGATGAATCATCGTAGACGGGGACCAGACTGTGCCCTGCGTCTTCTGCTCCTCCAACATCTTGTCCAGAATGGGGTCCATCCAGTCCTCAAACTTGCAGTAGTTGTCGTTAGGCACCAGCAAGTTGCCAATGCGGTTAATGCCACGACGACGCAAACTTTCGCCCTTTAAGGAGAAGTCTCCGATGTATGTAGGAGCCAGACACTTGATGAAATCCTCCTCGATACCACCAGCCGATGACACGATCACATCCACCATCTTATGTTGCGCTAGGAAGCGCAGTGTCTCGCGCAGGCCACTAGAGATGAGGTTGGACGTGTAGCCCAGAAAGACCTTGGTCTTCACAGTCTTACGGAACTCTGTGTCCTTGCGCTCCTCGTCATGCTCTTCTGGGGACACGGGATCGTCACTCAGTCGCCACTTACGCATGCGCTTGATCTCCTCGATGGCCTCGCCCAGGTTTGTGCCCTGGTAGCCCATCGTCACGTACGACTGCATGAGTTTCTCGTAGTTGACGCCTTCGTTGAAGTCGTAGCCGCGCACATGAGCACTCTTGCCCTCCAGATTCTCGGAGCGCACAAGAACCGCGTCCTGTGCCACCTGCGGAACGCTCGCATCGTTAGCTTGGGTCGATGAGGAGCTCATGATGCAGCAAAATTGAGCAATGGACGATTGGCGGAGGACTGATCATAACTCGCGGGTTTCTGCCGCATAGAAATCAAACTCCTCTCGTCTAAGTGTATATTTCTAATAAAACCTTAAGCTGAATTTAAGCATTAACTTAATCGTCAAAACATCAGACAATTGTCTCCCGTTCAAGTATGTATTTCAAGCAGTTCACGGTCCAAGCTGTAGTTACTGCGCTGACGTACGCTAACTTAAGCAACACAAGCTTCAATTTCTATCTGGCACTTCCAAATTGAAGCCCGGTGTCAAATCATGGCACATGACGGCAGCAACCTGTTCCAGATCCGCCGCATCTTCGGCTTCCCGACCTCCTCCGCGGCGTCTAATGGGTCGATCCCAGCGCTCAAGATCGCGTCAATGGCCGTGCATACACTGGAGAAGAAGCAGCTGCTAGCGCTCGCCATCAGTGAGGAGTTTCCCAAGACCATTCCCCACCCCCGAGGCGACAGCTCCTCCACCACCTCCATGGCTCCTGCGGACGCCAAAACGAACTTCTTATTGGTCCGAACCATCGAAGAAGATCAGCGCACTCGGTTCTGGATGTTCCCTGTGTGCTCGACGCCCAAACAACAAAAAGCAGGCAAAGCTGAGCGACTCTCGGCCTTGGAGTTCAGTCCCGAGGGAGATTGGCTCGCTGCACTATCGCAACGCAAGAATCGACTGCACCTGGTGCCGATATTCACACTAGTGGCCAATCAGCGACGTGCCATGCTGGATGCGTCGTACCAGCCCACATCACACCACCGTGAGCTCATGAACGTGAACCAGGCGGCTATGACGACACAGATGGCGTCATATCTACGCGCTACGAACGAGTACGGGGGTCTCAATGGGGCTCGCTATCACTCTCAAGTCGCAGGAGACGACGAACAGATGAGTACACTCGAGTTCGCTCCGGGTATTGGGAGTATCACGTGTGTCAGATGGTGGAGATCGCTTAATGGCAAGAATTATTGCCTTGTAGGTGGGACGGAGAGCTTGATTTCGATCGTCAATGTGGAGGAGAATGCAGAGGAATGCAGATGTGAGCTGGTGAATGCAGGGACCATTGTAAGTATTGATTTACTTCAGGAAAACTTCAGAAAGGAACGCAGAACTTCCATGCTGGTGAAAGCCAAGACGGAGGATATTGACGATAAGGAGAGAGAAGCAGGTGGGACCGGAGTGAGGTATTATCGCGTTGTGTTGGAGAAGAAGTTCCAGGCAAGACCAAAGCCAGCGCCCAAGAAAGTGAAGACGAAGCAGGAGAACGAGGCGACGGAGACTGCTACGTCGACGCTGAAGATCCAGACGACGACTGGGGGATCTTTGTCTTCGAGCGAGACGAACTTCACGACCACCAACACTAGTGGCGGCTCCAGTCCCTTCAGTTTCTCGAAAGCTCCCAAGTTTGTCGTCAAGACCTTCCCAGAGCATTTCCTGGAGGACATGGACTTCCGACCTCAACGTGTCAAAAAGAACTCGCCGCAAGTGTGTCTATATCCTATTAACGGAGTGTTGAGCTCGGAGTCGTCTCTGGCGCTGTATGATTGCAACAAGAAGACGGCGAATCTCTATTCCAACTTCCATTGGAGACTGAAAGGTGAATACAAAGTCCCGGATCTCCTCCCTGCGTCGTTCGCCGATACTGAAGAGCAGGATGAGAAGCATAGTGACCAGCAGGACGACTCACGTTCTGACGACGATAAAGACGAAGTTGTGGACGTCGAGTTGACGTATTGCTCGACGGATTTGATGCTGCTCCAAGGACGCACCTCCAAGTCGAACGAGACGATCTCAACGTGGGTCTCGCTCCCATCGAACCAAGGCATGGACGAAGACGTTGTCAGAGCGCATATCGTGCACTATCTAGCGCTTCATGGCAACGAGAGAATCGAGCGAGTCGTCCAGAGCACGGCGCGAAGCTCGAACAGCTCCGTGGGTGGCAGCCAGTCTGGCGAGGCTGAGATCATATATATCCTGCAAACGAAGCACCACGTGTACGAATGTCGGCCACAATGGTCTCGTCTGGCGCTCTTTAAGGCGCTGTGTGCGCGCTCCATCGCTCTTCGTGACGCATTGTCCATTGGCTACGCTCTAGGTATCGACATGGCTTCACTCTGTCAGGTGGTCGCCAATACTTTGTACACCAATGTGATCGACGGCAGTACAATTGCAGATAACGAGCTGGTCCAATGGGTACGCGAGCTCTTTGAAGTCTCCAGAATCATGCCGTCCAGTGCTGTGGAGCAGCTGACAGCGATGGGAGGTGTCCAGAGTGCTATAGACTATGCGCAACATGTGCTGTCCAAGCCTGTGCGTGATTCGGTGTATGATGGAGGGGAAAGAAGACGTGTTGCTCTGTTGCTGGTGGATCTGGTCTTCCAGCAGCAACTCCAGAAAGATACATCGACTGATACTGAGCGGGGGCATACTCAGGCTCAAGATGAAGAGCGAGAGGCGTGGCTGGTAGAGTTTTTGGAGACCAACCGAGACTACATGACCACAGACATTGTGGATCTCTGTCTTTCCCAGCAGCACGTGGATAAGGCGATCCTGGTAGCAACTCGACGTGACGAAGTGCCAAATGTGCTTGAGAAGATTATCAGCAAAGGACTGGCCCTAGCAGTATCTGAGAAGCTGCTGCGCTCGTTATTGGACTCGGGCCACGCTGCAGCGCTCACAGCTCCATCCAGTCGGCTAATTCTGCGGTCATTCTCGACCAAAGTTCAAGCGGAAGTTCTGTTGGCGCACCCACCTGCTATTCTCCAGCATCGAGATTGGCTGGAGCGTAACTTAGCTGCTCTCTCCCCACAGCTTTGCCGTCAACTTGCAGGCAAGATTAACCCCGACCAGCCAGATAACAACGAGTACGCCGTCCATGCTGCAGTAGAGGAGTCTTCATCAGCTAAGCCAGGAGTGCACACCGATGTGTCCACGTCCGAGTTTACGAAGGTGGCATCAGAAGAACAAGTGGAGTTGTACCTCACTCTCCTTCTGCACTTGAATTGCCGAGTTTATCGCTCACAAGACGATGACGCAGAAAGAGACGAAGAGTTCTCTCAATCGAGGTTGGAGATGCTTCTGAAGGACTTAGCAGCGCAGTATCGTCCACCTATCATGGTGTCTCGCTGTATCGATTACGAGAATTGGACTGCAGCGGCCTGTATCTACGAAGCTCACGGGGAACTCGTGGAGGCTCTTGAATGTCGCTTGCATTCCCACAACTCACAACTTTTATCAAATGCACTTGCATCATCTGACGATTCGATCCCTCGCCGTCGTCAGCAGTCGAGCGACTCGGTTGGCAGCGCCGTATCTGACGAATCTGACATTCAAGAACATTTGCGTGAAGAATTACTGCAGCTTCTAAACTCGCTGGTCGTGCATAGTCACAGCTCGGAAGTCATTTCGACACAGATCCGTGCCGCTATTCTTGCGCGTATCCTGGTCAAGTGGTTCGAATACGGTCTGAAGCGCACTGTTCTGGAGGTCTTCCTGATCGATCCTGACGTGTTCAAGCACGTCTCGTCGCTGCTGGCGCAGATCTTCTTCTCGGAAGTTGTGGACTCCATTCTATCAGCAACATCGACATCAAGCGGACCGCGTCAAGGTTTCGACGACCGCGACAAAGAGTGGGTGTACAAGTGCCAGCAACTTCCATTCTCAGGTCAGTTCCTCTTCCGAGTCTGCGTGTCGTTTCTGGAAAAGGACCATGAAAATCCAGAATCGGAGTCACCGACTCGCAAACTCTTGGATCTCGTGAAGAACAACGTTGTCGAGAACGATCTATCGCATGGTGCAGTCCCCATTACTCCTCATTCAGCACAAGCTCTTGGAAAGACCGATCCACTGGAGACGCACGTCAAGGCTTTCACGTGTGGCCACTTGTTCCCAAAGCGTGTGTTCGAAGAGGAAGTGGTGCCAGAGTTTGAGAAGCGGATGAATACTCTACCGATGCCGCTGTTTGCGACCAAGCAAGCCTTCACTCGCGAGTTCAAACGAGGAGCCAGTGAGACGCCATGTCCGGTGTGCAGCTTCAACAAGATCAGTCAAGCAGTGTTCCAGCAGCACAAGGCAAGCCACGGGCAGTCTCCGATGCAGCCAAGACACCGAGAGAAGACAAAGGTGCCGTACTATTTCCTGCATCGTGAGTCGAGTGAGCGTCTCGGCTTCTCGGCTGAAGTACAAAGCACCAAGCCACTGAAACACGAAGCGTGGGAATGGAGAGAGCAACGAGCAACTTTAGGAAGAGAAAGATGAAGCGGTTCATGATACATCGTGTTTTACCTTTGATTCTGATAAGTTAATGGGCGTCTGTGCGTTTGTGCACAGCAAAACTGGATAAAACGCGTTTATCTTTTCCGCTTCTTGCCACGCTTGGCACGGATCTCGGCATTGCGCTTGTCGCTCTTCATACGCGGGTCGACGATCTTCACCTTCTTACCCTTGCCGATCTTCTTGCCATCAGCAGTCCTGCTTCCGCCGCGATTGGATACGACGTACACCTTGCTTTCCTTCTTGAGGCGAGCTCCCTTCATAGCACGGTCGATGGCCTTTAGCTTCTCGCGTGTCGACATGTCGGGCAGGTTGGCAATGTCCGTCGCCTTCTTCTTTGCAGCCTTCAGCTTCTTCAGCTGCATGCGCTGCTTACGGCCACGAGCTTCGGCGACCTTCTTCACCGGCTTGGTAGCCATCTCCATGAAGCGCTCCTTCATCTGGGCCAAAACATTCTTCGGGATCGGAATCTGGGGACGGTAGTGTTTATCCTCGTCATCGGCAAACCAGTCAGGCAGAGCCTCGGAGTCGTTCCAGGCGTAACGATTGTAGCTGGCATCGATCATATCCTTAGCCTTCGACTTGTGGATCATCATGCTAGCAAGAGCAAGCGTCTTGGCACGGTCTTCAGCGTCGTACTCCTCGTGATCCGAGTCGTACTTGCGGTCGTCCATTATGGGCAAAGCGTTTTCATCCGGTTCCTCACCGGCAGCGACGACCTCGAACTTGTCTGAGTCCTTGTCGGTCTTGAGCGCAGCACCCATGCCAGAACGAATCAGAGCCTTCTTTTCCGCCGTAGCTTCGTCGTCGCTCTCTTCTTGCGCCTCGGCAGCCATAGCAGCTTCGTCGTCAGAGTTGGCAGGGGCAGCAACGTCAAACTCCGTGCCAAACTCGAGCTCGTATTCCTTCTCCTCCTTCTTGAGCTTCTTCTTCTCACGGCGTTCCTTTCGCTCTATTGCCGCTTTACGTTTGGTGTGACGAATCTCCTTATCCGTCTTGGGCATCTCAGGCAGACTTAGCTCTTCTTTGTCGTCGATGCCATCGAAGAGCTTGTTGTCCGAGAACCAGCGATTTACCGCAGCGCTCGACTTCTCAGGAACCTTAAGAGACACGTTCAAGTCATCCTCGTCGTCGTCACTCTCATCTGAACTCTGTAAGAGAAATCAAAACTAAGTTAGCGATCCAGAGTATATACCAATAAACATACATGCAAGTGCGGGCTTTCGGATGCACAAAGGACCGCATCTCCGTAGAACTCCGAAGAGTCTAGAGACACAGTCAGACATGAAGGCATTCCACGTTGCTTTCCCCCATGTTTGACAACTGAGCGAAGGTACTGATCGAACCCGGAACAGATAACACGGATGGGGGGAGCCACGCACATGCAGACGCCACGCATACAGCACATACCTCGTCGGGGTTAATCATCTTCTGGTACTGTTTCATGTCTCCGTCGAACATCTCACTGTCTTGCACCAAAGCCTCACCAGCTAAAGCTCGCTTAGCGACCTTAGTGCGCTTCACAGCCTTGCGGGTCTTTACGTCATCACCACGACGCGTCAGGAACTGCTCGTACGCCTTCTCCATCGAAGCTTCCAGCAACTCGTCATACTCTGCGTCACTGTCCTCAAGACCAGCATCTTCGTCTTCTTCGTCTGACGTCTCGAACTGAAGTTCCTCATCAGAAGACGAATCAGCTCCAGCGTTCTCGAGTTCATCCACTTTGCTTTTAGACAATTTCAGCTCCTTCAAGCTGAAAGCAGACTCGGCCTCAGTAACGTCGATGCCGTCAGCGTTCATACCAAGTGCAGCACGGATACGAAGCTTCTGTTTGCGTTCACGTTCCTGTAAAAATAATCATGCCACCTGGTTAGTAGGTTGCTCGAAGAAGTAATAGCATAATACATGCAAACATGTAAGTGCTGTAGTGATGTCTGAGCACAAGAACGGTTGAGAGCTTTATGGTACGGAAAGCCTCAACAGCTGAAGGCTGCATGTTAGTTTTGGCGGCTTCAATAGCCGGTCTGTTCAAGGACCAAACCGACCAAATGGAATTGGAAGGGGCTTTGGATTCCCGCCAATAGATAGCACAGACATGCAAAAATACAAACCCAATTGAGGATGTCCAACCCAAATCGACCGTCACTTGCACTAAGCAGCAAGGATAGGATAGGGAGCCGGAAGTCGATATGGGCGCTTAACGGGAGTCGGGAGGGTTAGTCCGCAACATGTCAAACGAGTAGTTATGACAAGGACTACTGGGATGCGCCCACATGCACTCGACATACAATATGTACACACACACATTTGGAAACACCAACGCACCTTTTTCTTTTCTCGCTTCTTCTTGGCCTGAACGTTGGCACGCAGTTGAGACAGCTCTTCACGGACAAGGGCATCTTTCTCCTTCTCGGTCAGCTCGCGCTCGGGCTCCTTCTCAGGCTTCTCTTCTTCTTCTTTCTCCTCCTCCGGTTTCTTAGCCTTGAGAAGCTCCTCCTTGTACTTCAGCATTCGAGTTCGCCACTTGAGAAGGCTTTTAAAGTCAGACTTGCCAAGCACCTGTACAAAAAACAACATTACAGCGTTAGTCAATTGAGATTGCTAGTGATGTGGGGATGACGACAGTGATGCCGTGGAGAGAAGGATCAGACTGCACAAGGGCAGTTGACAGCAACGCCACAACACTGGCTTCCGGTGGGTTTTCCCGAAATTAATCAGGCGCCGGAACAACAGTGGGGCTCAGACAATATTCAGCTTTGAAATCTTCATTTCCTTCTCTTCCTCGGGACATCGTCGCCGCCAAACATGGTGTGATACATACCTTGAGATCACTGAGGCAGGTCACGATTTCGATGGAAGTGTCCTTGTGGTCACGGTACACATCATCCTCTGGTAGGAACTTAACGCGTGTTGTGTCGGTCAGTAGTCGGATCGGGTCGTGCGCATCGATGAATTGTGTCACACTGCACTCGTTGGTCAAAGTCACGCCCAATGCCTCGTCGTAACCTGATCGCATGAAAAAAAATGTGGCGTTAATATCGTGGTGCTGGTACAGAAGATATGTCAATGGGAATGTCATAGATCATCGCCCCAAACTGCAAGCAAAGAGGAGATTTCCCTTCCCGAAAGAAGGTAGGCAGCATGTGCAGGCACTGGGAACGCTTGATGTTGCTCTTGGCTACAAGTAGCGCTAGGGACCAATGGGGACAGGCCACTAGAGACTCTAGAGAATGCAGCCGACATGCAAATGTACACAAACAGAAAGACAACATACCTTCACGGTGGCGCTTGCGGTCGCCGAACTTGGGGTGGAAGATAGTGATCGTCTTCTCCTGCGAGTCGACTTGATCGAAGACGTATTTGGGGTCGAACAGCTTGGGGTCAATCGAGTGAGGAGCCAGGAACTGCTCACACACCACAAAGATCTCGGCGGACTCGTTACGTGAGGACAGAGGCTTGGTAGCGCTCACCTTCTTGAACAACTGCTTGAAGACCCATAGCAGCGCATTGTAGTCCTGCGAACGGAAGACCTTGGACACGAAGGTACCTCCGCGACCCATGACGTCTACTGCCAGTTTCAATGCGATCAAAGCCAGCTCGTTCTGCACGTAAGCGTCCTTGGAGTACTCAGTACCAACATTGGGGGCACCATCACACAGCACCACGTCGGCTTGCCAGCTCTGCATCTCCTGCTTGATGATCTGGCGACATCGGACTGTCGTGATATCACACTGGAAGGTCTTGACGCCACGAATAGGGCGAATGGGCAGTAGATCGATACCCAAAATGATACTGGATGCGGGCATGTACTTGGCTGCGACTTGGCACCAGCCACCGGGGGCAGCACACAGATCGATGCACACCTTGGCCGTGGACAGGAAATCATATTTCTTGTTCAACTGGATGAGCTTGAAGGCCGACCGAGCGCGGTAGCCCTGCTGCCTTGCCAGGTTGTAGTACTTGTCCTTGTCATGCTTCTTTCGTTTCACCATTGCAGAGTGTTTGCGATGGGGCCAAGACCACCAATTCGCGAATGACGGAGGATACTGAAGTGCGCGCGCAGTGCGGCGTCCACCAACCAACGAGCATACTGAGTCCAAGTGAAAAGCAGTTACCAATGCGGGCAGCGAGGTTTTACTGGAAAAACCTTTAAAAGGGAAGAAAACACCTCTTGATGTTTGTAAGTATTTATGAGGTTTATAGCGGAATGATTGTAGCCATTTTTTGGCAAGTTGAAGCGCGACTAGGACGTTGGCTTGCGGATCAGCACACGGTCAATGAGATGCACGTTGGAGCGGTCCGTCGTGTTGAATTTGGCGTCAAGCGACGGGTTCTCGAAGTCCAAACGCAGCATGTTGTCCACCTTGGTCACCAGCGGCTTCCAGTAGCTCGGACGCGTCCATTTGAACGACGGCAAGTTACGTTCCAGCGACGCCCGCGGTCCGTTGCCTCCGCTCCATTTGGGGTCCCTACAAGGTAATACGCGTTGTGTTAGTCATCGATCAGAGCTACTTGTTGCAAGAGATCGGTTGCGCGTACCTGCACCATCGACGCGGCATCTTGTCCACCCCAAACGCGAATATTTCCAGTCGACCTTCCTTGTCGAAATGGAGTCGGAGGAAGTTCTTGTAGCTTGCGATGCGTAGTGAAGAGAAGGCTTCATTGTAGTGGCATCCCAAGATATTGAGTGACAGGTACAGGTACGTGCCGAAGACGAAGCTGACGACGGGAGTAGCCAACACCCAGAAGTACGGGAACACGCTGGCGTAGTAGGCCCACAGCTCCGTGCGTCCGAGGCTTTCAAACCCTGACGTACAAATCTTGTTGCGATGCAGCGCCACCACCTCCGGTACTGGATAACAATCAGGTTATTTCGTCAGTCGTCGTCAGAAGAGGATAAGCTGTCTAATACCTACCGTCAAAGAGGGTCATGCAGAGACGCATGAAGTCCCCGTACAGCGAGGATAAACCGAAGATATCGTACTTTCGGACTCCAGAAAGGTCAGGTAGCGTGCTGCTGAAAAAGAGGTAGAGCGTGTGCTCACCATCACGACCAAGAGCGCCACGAACTGAAGCCACTTCAAGAAGACACTCGTAGACCAGCAGAATCGTGAAGGCAGCTACGTAGTGAAAGAACGCCACGGCCAAACCCAACGCACATCTCTTCGGCAGTGTCGTGCAGTCCGCAAACCCGATCGTCCCCACGAGCATAACAATAGAGCATGTCAGCGACACATACGAAGTCGTCACCATGTCGTACAGCAAGTGCACGAGTTCCAGGTAAAACTGCGCTGCTGCGTCCCAACGCGTCGCTTGCGCATAGATGGACGTGACTGAGCAGCGAGGAAACATGGAGAACACAAGTGCAAAGTACCCAACTCCACCAATAGCATCGAAGCGCCAGTTCAGGCGACGAAAGCCGAACACATTCAGCACCGCATAGCGCCTACGGTATACCCAACAAGCAAATAGTGCCAGTGTGAGCAATGCTATCATATAGACATGGTCAAGCAGTAACGTACCTGGAGACGTGCGCTGGTGGGTAGCACAATTTCTGCTTGTAATTCCCACCATTGGACGCCAAATTCGAGCTGGGTATGTGCGTTGGATGCAAGAAAGCCCCACCACCTCCCGAGATGATCAAGTGTTCCGCAGAACGTTCAAGATCCGCAGGAGGATCTGATTGAAGCTCAGCATCCCTGGCTTGTCGCTCTTCGTTTGAAAGATCGTCGTGTTTCATGTGCGGAAAGTGCTTGTGAACAGGAGATGAAAACGAGTGACGGCGAGGAAGATTCGTCGTCGACATTTTCGGTCGGGGCGCATCAAACTGCATGGAAGCTGGACGCTTGAGCGTGTGTTTCTCCTCCACCAATGAATACCGCATGTAGTTGTGGATATCTCCTGCCAGTCGTACAGCAACTCGACCCTTGAGTACGTTCTCGATCAGATACGAGAGCTTGACGTCGACGTTTGACCTGTCTTCGTAGACATTCAGCAGCCACCGCGGCTCGTGTGTGAGCACAATTACTGCATCATTTGGTCCCATTTGTGTCTTCACAACTCGTTCGAAGAAGCCGAACTGCTCTGTGTCCACATCATTCTCCAGAGCTAAATCCACGCCAAATAGCCACCAGCCGTGAGGAAGTTTGAGACTGAAGTAGCTTGTTTTCTGCGGAATCAGCCATCCACCGAGCCAGTCTCGTTGGCAAATGTATCGTGTGAACGTGTTGAGACCGTCAAACCAATCGTGGTTTCCAGGGATTGCAAACACGCTGGGGCCTTCGTATTCACGCAGTGACGGGCAGCCATCAGGAGTTTTCTTCTGTGTTGAGATGGCCGACGGATGGTAAGAAGATGGAGGCTTCATGGCGTACTCAAAGCACCGAAACAACCGCGTTTCATACGTTTTGTCGTCCGGGTGCGGATACGCGAGATCTCCGCCGATCACAAGAGCGTCGCCTCGAGGGAACACTCGTTTGACAGTCTTCGTTTTCGTTGTACTTGCCTGTTCTTGGTCGAGTGTATCTCCATCGCTCGATTTATCGTCTGGCACTTGGCAGTCCACTTCTAATTGTGGTTGAGCGAGTAAGCGTGCAATCTGGTAGCTGCTGTTGAAGCCATCTCCACAGTCGGCCATAAAGTCAAGCCACACCTCGTCTTTCTCAGCGAGATGATCAAAGCAATAGTCCTCGTCTTTTGGATGCAAGGCACGTTGCATCGTGCGCATATCGAACCGACCGAGAAAGATCTTGAGAGAGATGAGGAGATCAAACACCGTGTCGAACAACAGCATGGAATACCAAGGAACCATGGGTAAGTTCTGCTCCGGTGGCAACAGTTCGTGGCCATTTTCTCCTTCGGACAGCTCGTCCATCTCGTCTTCAACACGATTTGAGAACCACCCGAAGGACGCGATCATGCGGATTCCACTAAAGCGCTCCAAGAAAAAGTTCGTAATGGCAAGGAACATTCCCATACACCAGATTAAAACCGCGCCACCGTAACTACGCATTTGCACATGGACAAACAGCCAGGTTAGTTCTTCTAATAAGGAAAGCAGCACGTTCATCCCGATAGTACCTGGCAGGGACTAGAGTTTCCACGTCGTCGGACTGGACGAAAGAGAAAATCTGGGCACAGGCGTGGCTATTATACGTCGTTGGTTCATCCGCAGACGCAGCACAATCGTATGTAGCGTCGCAGTGCACAATAACCGCCACACAGGCAACGCTGATAGCAGCGCTGTTGCGCAACACATTCATGAAAGAACGAGCCAAGCTACAAATGCACAAAAAAAATAATTTTACGTCAATGATAAATGCAAAGCTGATAGAATGCTGTTAGACTTACGAGACGTGCGCCACAGTCCAGGCGAAGCCGAACTTCTTGGTAATTCGCGAAAGGAAGAGCGCCATGAGCACCTCGAGTACGATTAGGAAGACGAAAGTGGCCGAGAAAAAGGGAAACAGCAGTGATATCTGCACGAATAAAAACACCCAGTGAGTTTAGCAACCTCCTTCGTCAGGGAACCATTCGACGCACCGGTTGCTTGATGGTAGAGTCTAAAAGCCCCAGCGCATGCACGGGCGTGTGCAGCGCAGCAGCGGAGATGAGCCATGCGTAGAGCACCATAGAGACGTAGACGTAGGGCGTCCATGAGTTAAGCAACTCCCGGTTGCCCACAAATGGGCTAGTGAAAAAGTAAAACGCCAGGTAGATCACCAGGTAGAGCGCGAACCAGACCTGCAACGATGACAGAATACACGACCCTCGTTAGAGCTGCAGAGAACACATATAGCGCTTGCTGGTGATAGCACACACCAGCTGGTCCTCCGCCTTCGTGGGCTCTGCCTCCAAGGGCCACGCCATCACGATGTATGGTGAAGAATGATACCGAAGGTTGAAGCCAAATATTTTCTTTGCACTGAAATCTATTCTCGCGAAATTTAAAAGCCAACCACAAAATTTGTGGCTTCCTGAATTTTATTTATTGCGTTAATTTGAAAATTTCATCACGAAATATCTGCAGTTTTAGAAGTATCGCAAAATTGGCTTTTAGCTTCACAGACAAAATCTGATCCCGAATCGAAATGGCGGCCGAACTCCCGGCCGAGTTCCTGTCGCTGGAGGCGGACTTTGTGGACAGCAAGATGGCTATCAACAACAGCATCAGTGACATTTTGCGTGGAGGAGGTGAGTAGGCCGCATCATGCGCTGTATGGTTGGTTCTATCCATGGGATTGCAGTATTAAGCCGGCGACGCTTTGCTAACCTTGCACAATTCCTGTACTTGTTTGCTGTCGTCTGCAGCCAGCGCGATGTCAAATGCCTCGCAGATCGCCCAGGCTCGTGTGGTGGAAGCTCAGCGCTGTGTGAGTGGCGTGTGGAAGCTGACGACAGGATTGTGGCATTAGTGAACGAATTGTTTTGCTTGTCCGGTGCGTACAGATGAAGCTCATGACAGTGGAGGTGCGAGGCAGGCAGCCGATGCTGAGGAAGGCGATGCAGGCGAAGGTATCTCCTCTTCATGTTGAGCACGGATATGAGTGACTTTTAAGAGGCGATGACTAAATGCTACAGGTCAATATGTATCGAGATGAGCTGCAAGGGCTTATTCGTGACTTGGAACGCGCGCAGCTCATGGCACGGGAGGGCAAAACTACCTCCAGCACTGCCAACCAGGTGAGATAAACTGTTTGAGGCGTCGGTATCTGCACTAGACAACAAACGTTTGTGATTTTATACCAGACTTCACAGTACGAGCGCTTGATTAAGAACAACGATCGATTAGCCAAGTACGCTATTCATAACTACTACCCTAGTCATTGCTTTTGAGGTTATCATAGTATTGATGCCTGACCTTGTGGATGTGTAGGTCCTCAAAGAAGCTTGAAGACACGCATCGGATTGTTGCCGAGACTGAAGAGGTCGGAATTACTGTGCTAGATACGTTGGCCAGTCAGCGTGAAAGTCTCCTAGGAGCCCATGAAAAGGTAAGTCTTCCACACAGTCACTGCTACTAAGGCATTTCCCACTAACCCTCTTGTTCTTCTTATCGCTGTATAGGTCCGTGAGACGGGTGCAATGACAACCGAGGCTCGACGGATCCTACAGCGCATGACTCGCCGGATCATCACCAACACCATCGTGCTGTACACGACCATTTTCGTGCTCATCGTCGCAATTTGCTACGTCATTTACGCAGACTTTATCAGAGCCACGCAAATGTTCTAACCAACAATTTTAAGAAGAGAGTGGCAACGTATCGTAAATATTCTGAATTTCAAACACCAAATTTGTACGTTTCATTTGAATTTCCCTTGAACCGGCGCACCTTGAAGTGTGTCCCTCCACGCCATTCCTAGTATTATACCATTATGGCAGAAGAGCACCACTTGCCTCGAATAGCGCAGCCTTCTCCACGAGGGTCGTCCGTCGTCTACTCAGGGCGGCAGGTGCCACTACTGGAATTGGCCTTCCAAGGAGGAGATTTCAGCGAGAGTCATCATGGTATGCCGTCGTCCAGGTCGACTCGATCTCGACATGAAGACGAGTACGTGGCCTCAAGTACCAGTCGAGTGTCTAATGGAGGAAATATTCAAGCTGCGTTGCCCCGTACAGCAGCGTCTTGGCATGCAGGCAACGGTAGTGCAGTTGCTTATGATTCTACACCATTAACGGATGAATCTGCAATCATGGAGGCTTCGGATCCCGCGCTTTTCCAAGCTGCAGTGGAGGAGCATTCACGGAGACTGGGGATCGATCCTACACACGACGCTGCGTTCATGTGGATCGCACGGGAGTCGCTGGTTGCTCCATTGCCTGATGGCTGGTATCATGTTACAGCTACGGAAACTGGCCAACCATATTATTACAACGAGATATCGGGTGAGAGTCGATGGGATCATCCAAGCGACGACCATTTCCGACAAGTTTACAGAGAAATGAAGCATAAGCAGGTGAAAGCTCACGCCTTCCGAGATCCTCATCCAGCGGGTTATTATGATACTGGAGGCTATCAAAGTGGTACGGCTTGGCAGGAGAACGGGCAGGATCATCACGTGCAGTATGCGGCGCAGACGCATCAAGGCTGGGGCCGAGAACAAGTGCAAGGTTATTATCATGGATATGAGGCGTCGTATAAAGTTCCTGAAGCCCAAGTTTATCCACCAAGACAAGAGGTCAGTCACCCTGTTACAGACTCAGCGAGCACGTCTGTGTCATCAAGTGGGGATAATCAACGGGTTAGGAAAGTGCAGGAGATGGAAGAGCAAAAGGTTAAAGATGACGAAGCTGTCATGAGTATGAAGACGGAAGTTAATGATCTCAAACGACAAGTTTCAAGTCGTGACAAAGCGTTGGAAGCTACAAAGGGCAGAGTCCATGAGTTAACTGGAGAATTGAGTGAGCTTAAGCAGCAGATGGAGGAGAGCACGAAAGATCGCGAGGAAATTATTATGGCGAACCAGACACTTCAGAACGAGCTATCGTTGGCCCGATCGGGGATGGAAGGAAGCACTAAAACGCATGAGGAGCTACTGGAAGCACAGCAGACACTCACGAAAGAGCTAGCTGTTGCTAGAGCAAAACTGAAAGAGGAGCAGCTCGGCGAAACGGAGGGTGTTGAGAGTCTACAAAGTCAGCTTTCTAGCGAACAGAGTGCAAGGGCCCAAATGGAGCAGCAACTAGAGCAAGCTACAAAGCAACAAGCAGGACTGACTAAGAAGTTTGAGGCTGCTCAAGCTACTATTCAACGATTACAAGAAAATCTATCGATGAAGGAGAATAACGAAGCTGTAGCTGCAGCTGCCAGTGCTACTGCGACAGCCACTGCAACAATTAAAGCCATTAGCAAACAACTCGCCGAGAAGGACAAAGCGCTGGAGGATGAACGAGCGAGAGTTGTGTCGTTGGAGGAAGATATCGTGCAGCTTAGAGCAAGTCAAACTTCCGCACAAGAGACACTGGAACAGGATCTTCAGACGCAGCTTGGAACTTTAGCTGCTCAAGCAGAAGCACGTCGGAAGGAGCTTGAGACTACAAAGTCCAGTTTGACATCCACAACGGCGGAGAAAGTGGAGTTGAAGAAGCACTTTGAGGAGTACAAGATCACAAGTGCAGCTCAAATCAGCGAGTTGGAGGATCAGCAGCGTGCGTTGAAGCGCGAATTCCGAGCTATAGAGCGAGAGCTGAAGACACAACAAGGTCTGGCGAAGGGCCGTGGTGACGAATCAATGGCGCTCAAGCAAGAGTTGGAAAGCGCCGAGATAAAACTGGCATCAGTAGCGCAGACCATCCAGAAAGAGCGCATGGAAGCCTACAACGAGGCTCAACAAGCTGTAAGTTGCCGCATTTTGGCTCGACAGGTGTATCATTCACTAACGTATTCATCTTATAGAGCGCCGAGATCGTACGCCAGGCAAACGAGGAGAAGGCACGGGTTGCCGAGCTGTACACACAAGAGATGTTGGCTCGACGGAAGTTGCATAACCGCCTTATGGAGTTGCAAGGCAACATTCGCGTCTTCTGTCGAGTGCGTCCCATCCAACCGGTGGAGATGAAGAGCGAACAATCCTCTTTAGCCGTCTTCTTTCGCGATAACGACCATGAGAGTCTCGATCTCTTCGTTGGTAGTGAAGCTGGGGACAAGGCCAGCCAGGTGGGCCAAAAGCACGCCTTCGAGTTCGATCACGTGTTTCAGCCAGACAGCACGCAAGAGCAAGTGTTCGAGCAGACTCGTGCTTTGGTTGTGAGTGCACTGGATGGCTTTAACGTCTGCATTTTCGCGTATGGGCAAACTGGATCAGGTAAAACCCACACCATGGAAGGACCGGAGAGTGATCGAGGTGTCAATTTCCGAGCACTCCGTGAGTTATTCTCCATCCGAGACGACCGTATGGCTGCCGGGAACTTCGAGTGCTCCATGAAGTTAAGTATTTTGGAGGTATATAACGAGTCCATTGTGGATCTTCTCGAAGGAGGTGGACGCACACCCGGTGTTGTGTCTCTTGCAAAAGGCTTGGATGTACGCGTGGGTAAGACCGGTGTGTATGTTGAAAACCTGATCGAAGTGGAGGTGTTTAACGAGGGCGACGTGCTCGATCTCATGCGCTTGGGTCACTCCCATCGCAGTGTTGGCTCGCACGACTTCAATGAGCATTCGAGTCGTTCTCATCTCGTGTTGTCCATTGTCATTGAGACTGGAATGAAGTCCGATACTCGACGGCGAATTTCCAAGTTGCATTTAATCGACTTGGCTGGATCCGAGCGTGTCAGTAAGACGGCAGCAAGTGGCCAACGCCTGAAAGAAGCGCAGAATATCAATCGTTCATTGTCTGCTTTGGGAGACGTGATCGCAGCATTAGGTGCGAACAGTAAACACGTGCCGTATCGGAACTCCAAGCTCACGTTCTTGCTGCAAGACTCGCTCAGTGGCAACTCGAAGGTGCTTATGTTCGTGAATGTCAGTCCAGTGCAATGGAATGCGTGGGAGACGCTGTGTTCTCTCAATTTTGCGTCACGTTGCCGTAGTGTTGCTCTGGGTCAAGTAAAGGCAGCGAGTGGTGGACATTCTCAGGGTAATGGGATGCAAGCAACGATGAGTATGAGTGCTATGATTCCTGGGCGATCTATGGGTCCCGGCTCGAGACCCGTGCCTAGCCGATGACCAGTAATATAAGGCAGCATAATGCGTAGAATTTTTTACTGGCCGTATTCCGCCCTGACCGGACCTTATGCCCGGATGTTTTTCCCGGTCAAATCATCATGTCAGTGCAAACATCCGATCTTAAAATGGTGTGTTAATTGTATACAAGAAGCTACCAGTTCAAAAGTACAGTCATGTAGTTTAAGCTCATCGTTGCTCTGTAGCAACGTACCATTAGTCATCTTTTGAGCTGCTCTCCTCGTCAGCCTCCTGATCTCCATCCCAGTCCAATGAATTGTCGTACACATTCGCAGCCTCTGTGATCCTCTGCTCTGAGTCTTTTATGGCGGCCACTGCACCTGTAAGCGCCTCATCAGTAGCATCACCCATAGACTCCTCGTCCGACGATGTATCTCCACCCAGGCCCAGGTTGTCATCAATTTCACTACAGAGTGAGTCAAGGGAAACATCAGACTCTTCAAAACCGGCGTCGTTGCTGTCCGAGTCAGGTGGCACTTCAAACTCAGTCAAGTCAGGTACCGGCGGAAGTGCTATACGAGGTAACCGCTGTTTCTTCCGGCGTAGCCCTCGTGTGATGCTGGCCAGCTTTCTGGCGTAGGCACTTGACATTCGGCCTATCGTTGAAACAAACTGGCGCAGATTGGGATGGGGCTTGAAAGCTGCATTCATTTCGCGGTTAAACCTCTCCAATGGGTTGTTAGTACGAGCAACTACCGAGTTCATGATGCCGAAAACATTCCACTCCGTAATAAAATACCGTTCTAGCCAGGTTTTACGAAAGTACAGCCAGAACCTACGCCATTCTTGGGCGGAGTACACACATCCTTTGTCGGCACACTTCCGTTTAATCTCTTGTTTAACCCAGCCAGTACCCTTTGGGTCGACAAGCTCAGGGTCGATTACAGTTAGGATGTCAAGTACACCAGGTTCCATAGCAATCAAAATCTCGTCTTCCGTAAGACGTTCTTTCTTCATTCGTCTACGTATTGCCTGTTTAAAGTGGAAGAAGCATCCTACCACCTCGGCGTTGGAGAATTGACTTTGAACGGCTGAAATTAGGCTGAACTCGAAATCACAGACAGCTTCAGCTGGATACAACTTTTTGCCGGTGTCGCGGTGTATTAGGTGCAAGATGTCCTCGTACATTGTCTCGGTCATGGATGTACAGAGTACGAAATACACCGGAGTGTACATATTCCGAGCCGGATCATCCACCATAACGATCAGACACTGATAGAAGCCCCTTGGAACACATCTAAAGTACCGTCAATAAAAATTGAAACACTGTTGTAAAGTAGAAGCTCCTTTAGAGCAGGGTGAGCCCACCCCAGTATACGGTTGTGTGGCGCATTCGGTTCCGGGTGGGCAGTCATGAGATGGAAACAAAAAACGGGATCGCAGAGTCCTTGACCTTCGAGCACGGCGGTATCTCAACTACTCCATGAATGTCTCCACCGTAGTATCTGCGGCGAACCCGACGGACGCGGCATTTAACTTGCTCCTCAGTTAACCCTTCGATAAGCTCCTCGCGGTTGGTCCCATAGAACTCAGAACAAATACGCTTTAAAATGGCTTCCTCGGGCATCCCAGGATCCTCCGTTGCCAGACGATCGGTCATCTTCTTCATAGCACCGGTCTCATTCCTTAACGACCCGTTAACTATTACGTCTTACGACAATTGTGGTCACCTAACACGCGCCATTCACCGTGGGGTGTTATCTTTAACACTCCGTTGCAGCGTGACGTACGGTACGTACTACACCGGTACACAATATTCTTGGTAGACGCCCACGACTTCGTATATTTGAAACCCTTGTAGATTTGATCGTTTTCGAGCCGCGCTTCTTCTTGACGCGCAAGACGGGTTGACTCTGTGTAGAAGGCGGTTGGTTATAGCCCTCAGAGGTGGTGCTGTCGATGCTGATGGCCGCTTGAGGAGGTGAAGTGTGTAGGCGCTCGGCACCATGACCTATACTTGCCCCCACTTTATGGCTATGGACGCGCTTTTTCTTACGTCGATCATGCGTATTCTGACGTGTCATACCTTGGGTGAGTATAATAGATTCTGTCTGACAGTAAGTGGTTCTCCTGCTTCCCTCGTACGGACACAAGATCCAACAGAAATAGATCAATGGTCTTGTTGTAGTCCCGAATAGAATCCGGTACATTTCTTCAGTCTTTAACCCGAAAATTGTATTGGCTCCGTTCATAGATCCGATCATGCAAGACAATGCCAAAAAAAAGCTCCGTTCATAAGATCCGGTCAGGGCGAAATACGGTCAGTAAAAAAGTCAACCAGCATGAACAGCCAAAACGAAGGATAGAACACAATTTTATTTTGCTAATTACTAGGTAGGACAATTAAATCTTTTACTTGTTGGTCAGTTCCACCAGAACCGTCTGGATGTCGCCATTGTGCTGGGTTAAAAGGTCGCAGCAGAGCTCTTCGTCCAGATCCACGAGGATATCCCGGATCACATCGAGTTCACGGGCCCACTCGCCATCAGTCTCTGCAATGGCCTCCTCAGCAGTGCCAGAAGTGTCGACAATGTCCCATTCGCGGTCATCGTCGTCGCATAGCGTGTCGGTGTCCGACTCATAGGCCGCTTCTCGCACATGTTGCTCACCACCTCCCACCTGGACGAGAGCAGGAGGCTCTTCATCGCTCTCTTCACTGTCACCGGTAATAATATCTGTCTGGGGCGTCGGGGATGAAAAAGATTGGCGTAGATCCACGGTCACCGCCACTTCCGATGATAGCGGTGAGGAGACTGCGACAGATTGGGACTTGACAAAGTCCGTTGGGTCAAACTCGTTGACTGAACCGCTCGACGATCGTCGGCGTTCGATGCCAGCCGCAACGGCTGAGCCAGCTCGTCGGAGGTGGGTGCTTACCCCACTACGAGCGGACAGCAGTAACGTCCGTGTATGCGCAGCAGAGTTACCTAGCGAGTCACGTCCGCGACCAAGCAGCTCGCTGTTGCGGATGTGGTTCATGGCCACGCCGGCTTGGCCAGCGAGACGCCCGAACGAGTCACGGCCCTTCTCCAGCAGCTCGCTATTGCGCAGATGCTCACGCGCCAGGCGGGCGAGCTCCATTACCTTTTGCAGCACAGGTGCGACCACTTTCTCGCGGAATGAGACGCGCTGAAGGACGCAGAAGTGCAGGGTGCGAAGCTTGTCGTCGTTTTCGGGGGTCATCGCCAGCAGCACGTGGCATGCCTCGTCAAACTCGAATGCGTGTGAGAGAGTGACCACGTCACCTTCGTCGTCACGATAGACGAGCGTCCAGCGTAAGTTTGATGATAGACGCGGGAACGTCTCGCGCACCTTGGCCAGCACCAGCTCGTAGCTCAGGTCTTTCTTGGGGTCCACGGCGCGCAGCGGCACCGTCACACGGTGCGTTTCGCCCGAATAGCTCAGCTTCAGCACGACGTTCTCGGTCATGAGTGTGTGTAGATTGGTAGTGAAGAGTGAAGGTAAGCTTCACAGCGCCGATTCAAAAGTGAGCTCTAAGTCCAATGGCCAGCACTGGCAGTGCTCATCATGCACGGATTCGGGTTGGGTGGGACTATGATGCTCACAGAGCCGTGCTGGAATATGCAGCGTAAATGCCTGCGAAAAGACCAAGCGAAGGGATCAAGTTATACAGGGAATTTTAATGAACAGGCTCCAAGAAAAGGAAAATCTATGGAAGGTCGAATTATTGCGGTATGCCGTGACAAAGAACGATGCTTTTTTTCCACAAAGATGGGATTTGACTTGGCCGGGCTTTGGCAACGTATGGCTTCAAGGTGGACCACGCGTTAAGTGCGAAAAACCACTGAAAGGACGCAAGCGCTCTTGGCAAGTTGTCAATGGCAACTGAGACCGAGTGCGAATTTGAAACGCATACTGAAACCGAATGCCATTTGAATAAGGTTGCTGAATTGGGGTATATCTTCGAGAGATGCAGCTGCCAGTGGACCAGGAGACAGCTCGCCGCTCCGTGCTGTATGGAGCTATGCAACAGTACTGCGCTGGCGCTTCAGGCGCCACTGGCGCCTGAAGCGCCGCGCCACTACGTGGCTAGCTATGTCCCTTCCAATGGAACTTCCATCGATGTGGGTACCGCGGCGCTTCGACTTCAAAGATTTACGTCACAGCCATTCGTTCACATGGCAAATGCGATCTTTGGTCAATTATTTTTTTGGAATGCTCGCAGCCGCTGGGACCCAGCGACACATATCTCAAGTCCAAGCTGCAGCGCTGCTGTCGATGGAGGGTATCACGAGTCGTGATTCACGACGCAAACTTCTGGTCTCGTTCCAGCAACCGAAGCAAGTTTAAAAAGAGATCGAGCCTCTGTCAAACGAGTCACGCTGGCCGTGTCCGTTATGTGCGCTGTGTGGACGACGGTACTTCTACTTGCTTCATGATTTCGGTATTATAATAATAGCGTTATTTTACAAACAGTGATCCTGCGGCTGTCCTCAAAGTCGAAAAAAGGAACAAAGCGGTATGGCCCTTTTGGCAGCACGAGAGCCATTTTGTTTTCACGCTGCTGTTGAAGAACTTGAGGCTTGTGACGCTCAAGTCAAATCCCAACCCGTCGCTCCACATGTTCAAACGCGTTACATGTACAGGTACTTCGAAGTGGTCACCCTCTACTGTAGACTCTACATGCACTGGAGCCCGTCATCTATTATAGTGGAGGCTGTGAGCATCGTGAACAATTTCGCAGCTTCAGTAACTTCGGTGCTGTAATGGTGCAAACGTGTGGCTAGCTCGCCATGCTGAGCATTACAGGGCCCGCCCAGTAGTCGATGAGACTGAGCTGTAATTGCAGCGGCCGGATCTGGGACCAATCGGCATTGGTGGTTCAACCGCCGAGAAAAACTACCAAAGCACTGAGTCCATAAGCCACGGACGTGGAGACGCTGGTGGACACTGAAGTAGATTCTGGACAGCGGCTGACACCTGATCGGGGGACTTGCGCAAGATTCAGACCATGCTTTTGGCAAGACCATTCACAAGCTCTTATAAATTATAATCAAATTTTGGTATTAATATGCTGCTTTTGGCAAAACCATTCACAAGCTCTTATAATTTATAATACCAAATTTTGGTATTAATATGCTGCTTTTGTTAATTCAATTTTGATCGAGTCCAGTAAATCGTGTCCGTATCGTCAACGGGATGTCTGTCATAAGTGAATGTACAGTGCACATGTAGTCATCCGCACCTACGAAATTTGCCTCAGCATGGCTCCGTTCAAAATTCTTCTTCATCGGATTTCGTCATGAAAGAGTGTCACGCTGATCGCTCTTGTCCTCGGTGGGTCTTGTCGAGACGGCACTGCACTGATGTCGGAAAATGCTCAGCGACGAGATGCTTCAGGGTTGATACATCGCCTTGCTACCGAATCAGCAACGTATGCATCTGTAATAGCCAGCATTGCTCACCCATCCAGTGCCCCGCAGATAGCATTCCTTCGACAGGTTCATCCGCGCTACCTTTATTTTCAGAGACGGACAAGCAAAGGTATCGACAATGCTTTTTCAACAGCTTCTGTACGGTATTATACTTCGTTCATCTACAGATCGGAGACAACTGACCATATTGTTACCACGACAGCACAACTCAGGACAGCAGCGTTCAAGCTTGAACAGCTTGAACTCGCGGTGGCTGATACGTCCAGCGATCGCAGTAATTCATTGGGCATGTCTGTCCACAAAACAAGCCTTGGCGCTTCTTCATTTGAAGGAGGGGCACCTTTAGCTCCGGTAACAATCTTTGGCATCACCTCGCGGAGGGTCCACTCGCTTACAGAAGAATTTTGCTGGAGTTTAGGCGCTGCACATACTTCAATTGCCAACGGTTGCTTACACTTTACATTTTGGACGCTGGGCTCCAGCACCATAGCTTGCTGAAGATGGATCTATAGAAGACGGCAACATGCAACACTTGATTTAAAGTTATTACATGCAATGTATCTAAGCATTTGTAAGTCGATTCTTCTTGGCTAACCAGTCTGTTTGTCGGCAACGAGTCTCAATCACTTATTCATTTGGTAGAAAAGAAATGTCATGAGGCTCACACAACGATGGCAGCGCGCCTTAACGAACAGGTCCATTACGGCCATGATGACCCGAGGACAGCAATCCCACCTGACAGGTGACCTGTAGCAGCCCACTGTTGCCAAAGCGACACAAGTTCGTGCGCTTAAAGCTCTGGCAAGGTACACTGTACACTGTACATGTACAGCATCTCGGTGTGCACAGTGCACTTTCCTCCCATTGAAGACACTTCCGCGATGAGGCCAAAACGCAGGTGAAGATGCGGTGGCATCTGTTGCCCGTTTTGGAAGTGCTTCCTCCTTACCAGCACCCGCTGTCGCCTCGACGAACGTCTTGCGTCCAGCACTCCGCTGTCCATTTCCACAACCAGCACTGGCTCGGGCGCGGTATCTCACCGACAGGCACACTCGTTTGTCAAACGAGTCTGTGCGTAGCGTGACATAAAGCTGACCGACTGCCCTCTCCGCTGGCATGGTACATGTACAATGAAAATGCGAGTTGATGAACGCGATGGTCCGCCCCACTGGCCACTGCTTGCAGACTATCGGATAACGGCTAATTTTTTTTGGAAGATATCGAGCTGAACTAACGCTCGGTGCGTCACGCGCCTGCGGCTTTTGTCGGCCAACATCTCGTGGATTTTGTTCAGTTGCTGCGCTCAAAACACCGGATTGTTGCTGAACCCTGCCATGCTGAATCGTGTGACGTGTGCTCTGGTCTTCCACACCACGGCTCCACCTGTCCGGAACCTCACCCCGTTGGCGCCGGTGGAGCGCGGCCTTCTGCATCATTCTTCGATCAGCGCCATCCGGACTAAAGCTCATTATCGCTTTTCCGGACGTGAGACCAAGTGAGACTTGCAGCTCATTATCGCTTTTCCGGACGTGAGACCAAGTGAGACTTGCAGCTCATCACTTACCACAGCCAAGCAGCCAAACACATTTACAAACTATGCAGCCCAACGGTACGAGCTTCGATGTGGTAGTAGAGCGACTGAGTAGCTAACTGTGCATAACATTTTATATTTACAGGAAACGGAAGTCCTTCTGGCCCCGACTTTGAGGGGTTCTCGTTGCCCGACGCAGAGCTGGCGTCCAAGATCGAGGCGTATCTGGCCGGCATCACCGTGACGGACCACAACCCAGCTATTCTCTTCAGCTGGGACAACGAAGCACTCGAGGAATTCGTGATGGCGGCCAACGCAGAGGCTGATGGCCACCCGCAATGGTTCTCCCAGCCGCGAGGCAGTATATCGCCCAAGTCCGTCATGAGCGACATCATGAACTACCTCGCGCAGCTTGGTGGTGGCCGCTGCGATCGCGTGCTACTGGCGCCTAACTCGCTCATTCAATACGGGCACTTGCAAGAACGACTCCAATACATGCAGTACGACGAGTTTATGCAGTCGTGCATGGCCAGAGTGACGCCCGGCAGGACACTCGCGCGCACCTTCGCATTGACAACTCCGTCTGTCGAGCGTGCCGTGCCCACTCAATGCCTACCACCCCCGCCTCCAGTCCGACAGCTCTTTGAGTAATTGACAGCCTCTCTTTCGTCCATCTTCAGCGGTTAGTTAGAATTTCGTTTTGCTTGTCGCTTTGCATGTTTGTCTTCCCACCGAACTTCAGCGTCAAAGGGTGTGAGATACTAGTACGCGGCAAAGGAAAGTATCTCTACGGAGGTGCACCGAGCCGGTGTCGTCGGAGTCGTTTCGGACTAGTACTACACAAGTATATTCTTCGCCTGTCCAAGATTTCCAAACTATACAGCTCGGCCAAGGCATACCAGCCAAGCCAACGACGCCAAAGCAAGTCCACCACTCCAGCCATCTCGGCATCATACCAAAGTAAATTAGTGCAACAGGGGCTAATTAAACGTGCCATCTCTACGAGGTTCTCCAATCTTGTTGCCCCACGTCCATTGTATGGAATAGATACGTGAAAAGAAACCGAGAAAGTGGTAGACACGTACGTGGCAGCGCCACCTGGTAGTACTCACGCGATTCCCACTCTACTGAAGTACATCTTATTCATCACACAGTGTCGACAACGAGCAGTGTGGTTCAGTTCGCGTCGCAATAATGGCAGAAGAACTTTGCCGCCAACAAGTACGGCAGATATTAATACCTACTATTTGCAATAGTAGCGCAACTCGACTCGAGTTGCATTGAGGAAGTCTCGAGGTGTCTTCCTCAATGTTTTTGGACTGACTCGGATCAAGTCAGAAAACGGTCATATCTTTGTGTACAACACATCACAATCACAAGGAACGAAAGATGTTGGTGCTGCGGGTGCGTTGCGCAGACGACGGCCGCGAGCTGCTTGTAGAGCGTCATGGACCCGGCGAGCACAGTGTGCGAGTAGTGGAGCTGAAGAGGTTGATCCTCCAGCAACGGCAGCAACTATATCGCAGCGGAGACGCTGCAATTTTTAGCCATCCACCGATTGCGGACCTCGAAGACTGTTTCGTGCTACTTCGAGGACAGATTCTGGCCGATCCAGACGTCGTGGACTTGAACGCATTAAAAGAGTCGGACTTTTTCGTGTTTGCACCAGATTCCCCACTGCCTGGTACTAAACCGAGCTCTAGCAATGAAATGCAAGTAGATTCCCCGACTTTCGATTTATTACGATCTCAGCTGGTGGACATGGGCTTCTCGACAGAGTTGGCAGCTCAAGCGTTGCGACAGAGTGGCAATAATCTTTTGAACGCTGCTGCATTGCTAGCAGAGGGAAAAATGAGCACGGAGTTTGGTCAACACGAATCAATTAATGACGACAACGTCGACTTAATGACGCAACACCCGTCGGTAGCTCCGCTGCGGAGTTTATTGCACGATAAAAATGTGAGGAAGCTGCGAGAAGTGGCTGCAACGGACTCGTTCCAAGCGTTGCTGCTGTTAAAGGAGAGTTTCTCGTCCGAGACGTTGAATCAGCTTAATGAGAACCCGGTGGCGACATTGCGACTGCTTTCTCTTCCTGTTCCGGTATCTTCTTCCATGGCAACAGAGATGAAACCGTTTGGCGACGCTGTCATTGACGTTGATGACCTGAACATGGATACGACAGCCAGTGACTCGAAGGGCGCAGTCGATCGGGTACGAGCAAGTCACGTCGGCGGTTTTGCATCGTGTCTTTATCTTCTAACTAATTCTCTTTTGCGTAGCTTGTCGCGATGGGGTTCGCCCAAGATCTTGTTGAGATTATGTATGAGTCCTGCGGTGGAGATGAGCAGCTCACGGCAAATGCTTTGCTGCAGACGTTGGAATCTTAAATGTGCTATATATCGGAAAGTGGACATTTGTTAAATGCTGGATGGCCAAGAACGACCGTTAAAGAGAACTGGGACAAGCTCTGATACTTTACAGCAGAGAACTATTGGCTGAGTATTCCACGACTCCGGCAATAAAGACTGCATCACGGCTAGTTGACTGGCAGTCGGTTGAGATATAACAACAGCTTAGGAGATGTCGTCACTGCTAAACGACCTCTTCTTGTTCTCATTGTCATGGTGCCGATCAGCACGCAGCAACGACTGGGAAGCTCCATTCGCGTCAAGTTGGACGTATTGTCGGTTCATCGCCAGCACCGCAGCCTTCTTCACCTTTCGGAGCTCTCCTTTCAGCCGCTCCTTCTCCAAGCTACTTGACGCCAGCTCCGATCGTGCTTCTTGGTACTGTGATTTCCAGCGTGAAGTGGCTGCATTTGCTTCGTGGAGACGATCGCTATGCATCTGACATTGTGATTGCAAAGCTTCAAGCTCCAGCGCTAGATCTTCACTCAGTACCTGTCCGTCAACCGCAGCATTGTATTTCTCCTCCAAGCTCACCACAGTGGCCTCAAGATCTTCCAGTCTCATCAGCGTACGCTCAATGCCTTCTGCAGTTTCACCTACACGCGCTAGTAGCTTCACAAGTCCAGCTTCGCGTCGGATTGCGTCCACCAACCTGCTCTTGGTGTAATCGTGTGCGCGCTTCTCTCGATGATACACTCGCCACGCTCGGTACGACGCCCCAAGAGACGTGAGGACGTCTTCGTCGTCGCTTCCAGGCCCGTAGTCGTCTTCTTCTTCAGCCGCAGCAACACCCCAACGAAGCTCCGTTGCACTGTCTCGAGCCAATCTGGATCCTCTAAGTGTCTTAAGTTTATCGCGCTCATGATGCTTCTTCGAAGCGAAGCAGCACACGGCTGATACTGCACTCACCACCTTTCGAGCGACCAACGCCGAGCTAGAGCACGCGTCCTCTAGCATTGAGGTGGCGAGTGTCTTTCTCAAGATTTTTTTTTTATTTTAAAAGCTACGCTGGAGTGGAAAGTGCGTACCAGGAGTCAACGTTCGTAGACACCGCTCAATGAATGTCTGCCATGTCAACTGAATACCGGAAAGTGCAGATTAAAGCACGAAAAGAATGCCAAGAGATACTAAGTACGTAATATCTCGTGGGTACGTGGCGGTAACGAGTGAGCCAGTCCTTTATTCATATTTTTTGATCCGAATATCATGCGCCGTTGTGAAGATGACAGTGCAGCAAAGCAGGCGATCGCTTTTATTACTACGCCCGTACTTCGAAGTATAAAATAGTACGATCAAGTGTCAGTACATGTCGGCAATCAACAAACAGCTATGGGCATTACCTCATGAGGTGAGAGTAGCAATGTGCTACCGACTCGGCAAAGGAATGCTCGGTAGAAATGCGTAGAAGACAAACCAAGCTTTTCAACACTTTGATTATGCTTCGTAAGTGGATCATCTCAGCTTGCCGCAAACTTATCACTTATTTTGAGGTTCGAACAGTCCGAAGTGAGTTCTTTCAAAATACACATTTTAGCTGACTATCCTGCGACTCAGCGATCGTTACTCACTGTACCTCCAACTCCAACCCAGGCTGCATATAGATCTTCAAACGGCTTTTGCTGTGAAGCGTTCATTTTAAGTTCGACAAGAAAGCAGCCAGCTTTACTCGAACAGCCATGGGGCATGAGCTCCGTGTGCTTCCCTTGCGGAAGGCTCTGGTGCTGGTCGTCAACCTCGCATCGACAGTTCTAACGCTGATGGCAGGTTTGCGTGAAAATCCGCTGATCGTCCTGGTCACTGGCCGCTACGATGAAATGCGAGCCCGTTTGATGGAGCGGCGTATCAACTACAACCTCGTTCGAGACGATTTCCTCGACATCGACGTGCTGACCAACTTGACGCGAGTGGGTGAAAGCTATCGGTTCTTTTCTGCGCCAACTCGCAGTCCAGACAACCTCGGAGAGGACCGAAGCACATGTATGCGCGTTAACTCAATCAACGTGACCCACGCTGAAGTGTATTTCGATGATTTCTGGGGCACAGGAGCGCGACGCTCACAATACTTTTTCCACAGTATCTCTGCTCCAAGATGCGACATCATCAACTTCAATCCTGAGTGGTTCACCGAGTGTGTTTACACTAACAACAACTCGACCGACGACTGCCACCGCTACATTTTCGACAACTTTGACGACCTCAGTAAGAAAAGGTTTGTTCAAAACGGTGTTCCAGGAGACTTTGGTCGCCCTGGCATGCCGTTCTTACGCTGCACTGGTCGACCGCCAGCGTCGTTCATGTACATGACGGATTTGATGGTACACCAGGCGTTTTGGGCCGGCGGAAGCTACCACATCCATTTTGAGAGTAGCAAATGTCTCGCTGTACCGAGAATTATCGACTTCGAAACGAATTATGGTCTCTTCCAGACAGAATCGCTGGACCAGCAAGCCGAAGTTAAGGTGGCTCTTGACAACACGGGGTGGTTCACTCTGATCGTTACCTACGCTTATGGTCTTGTCACGTTACTTCTCGTTGCTCGAGGTGTGTTTAACACTTTAGCGAAGCTGAGAATCGTCAATTACGTGCCAGTAAAGTTGCGTTTCGCTGGGGTTCGACGATACTTCAAGTACATTTTTCCTTTCATGAATTTGTCGGTCTGGACATCGGACGATGAGAACTCGATCATTCGATTTAAAGGCAGAGTTATCATGGCGTCCGACGTGTGGATTAACCACTGGCTGTACATGTTGCTGAGTATTTTGGATGCCCTAGTAAGCATTCGCATGACTTACAGTGTCTATGAAATCGGACAGTGGATGCTTTCGATGCATATCACGATGGACAACTTCATTTTCATGGCTTCTGCTATCACACGGATGACGTGGCTCATGTGCTTTCTCCACACGGCGGTCAGACTACTTCTCAAACTGGGAGCGCGGTCTTTGAAAGCCATGAAGATGATTCGTCCCCATCACCAGCACATCCTCGAGTGGTATATCGACGCTAGCACATTGTTTCTTAGCTACAAGGTCTACAGCTTGATGCTTTGTTTCTTATTGTACGTGCTTCTTAAAGTTCGCGGAGGAACATCCTTCATGGTGAACGCCCCGAATCCCAGTCGTGGAATTTTTGGTGGTGCACCATCTCTCGAGAATTTCTGGAACAGCGAGATCATGATCGATTTCGTTGTGTTGCTCTCGCTCATGATGCTCGGAGGCGGTTTCTTCGGCCTCGTCATGTTGGCAACACCTTACAAGCGTGTGGCCAACAACAGACTGCTACATTTGATCCAGAGACGCTATGTTTTCGTTGGTTGGGACCTCGGTGCGGTGATCGACTCTTTGGGTATCGACCCATTTAACGAAAAGCTTTTGAAGGACGACGTTGCCACTACCAGTTGTCCATTCGGGTGTGTCTTACAGCAACTGTACCAGTCAGGACCAAGTGGGCACGTGACAATGGTGGCAGATTATCTCTTCCATGGCAACGGATTTGCCACTCCGCCCGTGGAATTTCACTTTCCAATGCGAAAAGCGGTAACGATGGGGCTATTACGAAGCAATAAATCGGGAACAACGAAAGCGACGAAGGTAAGCGCCGGTGCGAAGTACACGACTTCCGATGCAACAAACAACTTTAGCACTCAAGCGGACCACTTTGACCAGCCAAGTGACGTTGGGGATATGCCGAATACTGAGAACAAAAGTTTGTTCGAGAAGAACTTGCGGCTTTTTGCCGAGACAACGTATGGCCGAATGATCTTGATTGACGAAAATAAGCCCGGCAAATGTGGCAAGAATGCTGCCGGGATGATGGAGTACACGACTACAGACGCGCTCGCTGCGATGAGCATTCTGGATATCAAACACTTGTTGAACGGAACAAAAAATCTAACGATCGGATAAACGACAAGTGACGACTGCGCAGTAAAGTGATGCAACATTAAATGAATCGCTATTTTCATATTAAAATAGTGTTGAACCTCGCAGAACGTCGACGACGACGGCAGGTGCGGAGAATGTGCGGAAGCAGCAAGGGCACCAGTTAGGAAACTACTAGACAAAGAGTCGTACTCTAAAGCAGCTAGGAAACCCACATTGCATATCCAGAAGCATCCAAAGTGGAGCTTTATCTTACATTAAATACATCAGTCCTTACCCCCCCCGTCACTTAGGAAGCATGTTACCGGAATGCACAAGTGCTCTCTAATATCCAATCACTGTGCATTCTAAAAGGAGCCAAAACAGTCCCTTTTGATAAGTCGATCAATCGCGCGATGGCCGATTGCACAATGGCTACAGCAAGGTGGAATAAGCAAAAGGTGCCGTTTCGGCTCCTTTAAACGCGCGTGACTGAGGGTCACTATACTATACAGCGCAAGGCGGACGCGAAAGGGTTAATGATTAAACGTTCGAAACGACAAGCTGTCCATTGTGTTTGCCTGCAAACGTTGCTGGGAAGTTGCAATTCCCGCTTCGGTCTGACACTACTTTGATTGTCACAACCCATTCAAGATTACAGAGCTTCGTTATGTTGGGGTAACGCGGTATAGGTTGCAGAACTTGGGGTCCTAACTGTCAAGAGAAAGTTCCTTGGAGATACGCTGTCGTAAAGACAGTGCTTCAAAACGAGAAGCCTCTGATCCATCCATTCATTCTCCAAAACGAAACGCGGGACCAAGATGCCTCCCCGCCGCGTCACGCGCGCTGAAGCGGAGGCGTTCCTGCGTCGTCTCATGGGGAAGGAAGGCGCAGAACGCGCCGGCCTGCTTGAAGAGCACCGTGCGTATGTCGACGGTACGCGTGACCGCGATGCTGACTTTGGCGACGAAGCTGCGGATGAACCGCTTGTTTCAGCTCCTACGTCAGCAACGACAGGAAGACGGCCTAGGATGACAGTGGCTTCACGCAAGCCTCCTGCTCCAGCTACGTGCCAGAAGAAGGGCGCACTAGTGGAGTATTACAATTGGGTGGCAAGAGCGCCGCGACTGAAAGGGACGGCGCCAGTCACAGCACTGTATGCAGGAAAGCTTGCTGCCGATGATGCTTTTGCTGATGAGGATGGGAGTGACAGCGGAGACAGAGATTACGTGCAAACGGGAGAAGACGAAGGAAATGACGACGCTGAGTTTGACATGGCGACAGCGGCAGAGATCACAACACCGAAGCAGGCGGCGAAAAAGAAAAGACCGGCAAAGGCGCCTGGCAAGGCCAAAGCAAAAGGTACGCGTAAGCGCGCCCAATCCAAGAGCTCAAGAGCTGACAAATCTGCACGGACAACAAGCCCACACGTTGCTGCTGATGAAGAAGCCGTCAGGTGAGGAGATTATGCGTTTTGCGTACGATGTGTTTCTCACACTTCATGTTTGTAATTGTTTGTAGCGATGCGTCTATTGGTGGCGCTTTGCACTATAGCAACACGTCGCCAGCTCCGCCATGCGCAACAAACACAACGCAGGCACATCGTGGACCCATGTCGATATCGAAAGGTGCTTCCTCTGCGCAACAGACTTCACCGCTAACGCCACCTCGATCTTCGGCTTCCAGGTACACTGTCACATGATGGATATCAAGCATGTGCGAGATTTATTTCTGACAGCATGCTGTATTTTACTGTTGATTTTGCAAGGTCACTGAATATGGCTACTGTTATTCACACAACTACAGTTCCCACAACCCCGCCTCCTCTCTATTCCCGTCAAGATTTTCGTCAAGATGATGCCATCTTTGATGGTGGTGCATTGGATTCGGATTACGATGATTCAGACACTGAATCAGCTGAATGGTACGAGGACACGGATAATTTTGGAGCTGATATGGATGATGAGATCCCAAGCGAGAGCGACACGGAGACGAGTGATGAACTGTCACTAGATGCACCCTCAAACTGGCGATTCACCGAGTTCTACACCTGCAGTTTGTGCAGCTTCTACAACAAACCGTCGCGGGGGACAGCGATCTCCACGAAGTAAGGAGGAGGCCGAACGCTGGAAGGACATTATTGACAATTGGCGCATCGTAGAAGGGTCTGATTTGTCTAATCTAATAGATACAAAGTTCGCTACACCTTCTTGAGAGGAACGTCTATTCTGTGAGGACCATTCAAACTAACCGGTTTCATCGCTCAGTTGCAAACCCAGCTACTACAAGTGGGGTCGGCCGAATTTGCAGACACGGTAAGGAAGGTGCTTATTCTGCTGGTTGTTCACATTGCTAACTGCTACTGTATGTGTCCAAAGGTGCACTTACCTAGACCAGTTACACCATTGCATGGCGATGTTCCACCGTCCACCCACCAGCTAAAGATGGACGACGAGTGGGTGGAGGAGAATGGAATTCGAAAGCGGCGTCAACGGCAGTACAAGGTCTGTACTATACGAAAAACAAGCAGTAGACAGCGGCAGGTGACGCGATTGTACTGTCCCGGATGCAGTAAAGGCTCCAAACGGTACGTTGCTATGCTCTATCGCTCTTACTACTGGTATCTAACACGTTTAATGCAGTGCCTACTTGTGTGACAAGGTGCGCCAAGCACATTACCCAAGTAACAACCAGACTTGCTTCTCCATTTGGCACCAACTTTGGCGCAATGGAAGCGAGCGCCCACAGCCGCGCCACGACCGCAGTATCCAGCTGAGAGCCCTACCAAAAAAGCGGACGGGAAGACAAGGGGGTCGTGAAGAGGAGGGGGACTGTGGGGATGAGGAGGAGGCCGCAAGGCTCGGCAATGAGGGAAGTGAGGGTGGTGAAAATTCTGATAGTGGTCAGAAGGAGACAGCGGAAACTGGGGTGACGACGCGGTAGAGAGAGAGAACCAAGAGTAGGAAACAGTGAAGTTGCGTAAGTAATAGCCCAAATGACTTGCTTTTAGCAAATAGATGCAATACGCAAATTTGCTTTCGTAGCCGTTCTGCACGTGACTCCGTCAAAAACGATTCATTCCCAATAAAACAACCATTTGCACATGCACGATGTCGCGTAGGGGATTTACGGAATCTACTCACCATGCTGGATATAAAGCATGTGGGTCCATAATACGTACGATTGCAGGATCTTATACAAATATACAGACACCGGTCTTTTTTTTCCTATACAAAATTTACGTTAAGACTTTTTTTAACATGCTTGATATCAAGCATGTGAAAAATAGTCTGTGCATTCAAGATTTGCCCTCGTAACGGAGGGGTTAATTTTCCATCCTCGTGAGCAAGCTACTATTTCAACAGGTGCTGAGCTCAAGCGTACCCGACAAAACTTCGCAGCAGCAAAGTCCAGCCGTGGGATCCAAGATACCGACGTACACGGACTTAACGTGTCTCCAGACCCGTTCGAGCTGTTCGAAGGGCCGCACTCAGTCTCGAGTGCGTCCGATGCTCACGCAAGGGGCAGTCGGAATTCCGATGCGAGCACCGAGCGACTGGATCGCTCCTCGCAGGGCTGGCAAAGCAACAATCAGATTTTATGGCCAATCAGATGAGACTTGAGATTCAACTGAAGGGTCGCGCCGAAGAGACGCGCACGCCACTCTCCGAGAACTCGTACGACGGGTCCAGCGCTTTCACGGACTTCATCAGAGCAAGCGATCGTCGGATGAGAATAGACACCGATGCCAACGACGGCACCTGCACCTCCGCGCACGTCCCCGCAACACCAGCCGCCGCAACACCTGCGCATGCCGCCCGCCGCCTCCACAGTTGCCGCATAAAGAAGTGCATCGCCGTACGTGGCGTAGCCTGCCGTACCACCGGTGCACTTTAGATTCAAGGTCCCGAAACAGAGAGACCTGGAGTGGTCCGGGTTTCGAAGCTCTCGGGGAAGGAGACATATGCTGGCGTCGGTGCCAAATTTAAGGCGTGAGGGCTGCGGTTCCTTCAGCGACTTGGTGCTGCACAGCAAAAGAGCGGAGGAGACTGGCCGAAGGAGCTCAAGATACTCGCACTCAATGGCAAACTCGAGGGCACAGCGCTAATGTACTTCGAAAAGATGCTGCCCGGTTGGACAGCAGTCTCCAACTCCCTTGAATACGTCATGAACAGCATGTTGGTGCTGTACATGACACCGATTCCGTCGGCTAAGCGCATTGAGCAGATGGCGAAGGAGAAGATATCGTCTAGGTCATGGCCCGAACACTACCAGTACTTAGTGTACGTGGCTGAGCGGTCCGGTAACTCCGAGCAATGCGTCTTGCAGTGCTTATGCAAGTCCGCACCTGCATACCTTCAGAGGGCGATGTTGACGCGTCTCGACTCGCAGCGCACGGATCATCTGCAGCAAGCCGCGGAGCTGGTTTCGTTCGCGATCGAATACCAAGCCAACACAGCAAAGTTAGGCAACGGCAACGGGTGTAGCAAGAGCAATCGCGGTGGCCACGGACGAGGTGGTCGCGTCCATGGAAGTGGCAACGGTGACCAAAACGGACGCGGTGGCGGATTCGTCGCTCGTGTTGGCAGCGGTAAACCACGCACTTGTCATGAATGTGGAGAAGTCGGGAACTTGAAAGCTAACTGCCCGCAGAAGAACAAGGGAGGTGCTGTGGCATCGACCAGGGTCGCGCTGGCTGTGACAACTGAGGCGGCTTCAAGCTCAGACTCGTAGATCATGGACAGCGGATCCAGCGTACACCTTGTGAAGGACCCGAACATCTTGTGCGATCCGGTCGCATGTGACAAGATGTGCAGAGCTGCAAATGGCGGTGAGGTGCACGTCACGAAGGTTGGTACAGTTAAGTTACGCACGATTGTCGACGGCAAGGATGTTGCTATCGACATGTCCGAGGTGTACTACGCGTATAACCTGATGGATAACATCATAAGCTTCGGAAGACTTGAAGACCGTGATGTGTATCTTGAACGACACGACGGCAAGAGCTACGCCGTACGAGAAGAAGATCGCGTACGTGTGCTCGAGATACACAGGCGTAATGGCGTTCTCATGGTAGACATTATGGGTGAGAAGACCACGGAGACACGCGT